ATGCGACCGGCTTTGCCCGAGGACTCAACTCGCTGACAGACGTTCATGGTATCACCAAACCTGAGATAAAATAGCGAAAGATATCTGGTAGCACTGGTAGAATCCAAAGCGAAAGTCAGACTCCCCACAAAATGATAGAATGGACCTTACAGTTGGAACCTGCTTCGGTCTCCTCCTCAGGATTCCTGCAGTGACGGCCCAGAGTGAACTCCCACTCGAAGATCAAGGTCACCGGTATCGGCCCTGGAAAAGAAGATGAGGATGAAAGCTGGTAGAAGGATTCTTTCAGAGCCGAAGTTATTACTGCTGTTTCTTTTGCCTACCCAGGGATAACCTCCAAGGCTTTGGTAAGTTCGCATCTTAGCAATGGATGTCACGAGCAAACTCTGCACATTCGCTAATGGGTGATCGGTTCTTGGTTCTAAAAGACAACAGAAGGCAAAGTAGAGGATAAGAGCCTCACCAGACAATCAATGGACAGACAGAAACAACCAGTCCTTAGCCTTACTTGGAGCCCGGACACAGCACATACAGTCGCCAACTGAGCAGAAAACAATGCTCTGTGCAGAAATACTATGCACTTGTCGATGCAATTGAGCGCAGGGATCGATTGCAAAACTCACCAGTCTCCACTTGAAGACTCTCGTTTCTTGGCATACCATCAAAAGACTGAAACAGAACAGCCCAAAAAACAATTCAAGGTACACAAAAAAAAAATTAAGATAAGTAAAGCTCCAATGCAAAAGAGCCGCAAGTACCAGTGAACAGCTAACAACAGTTCTTACCAAAACCTGTGATGGCTCCCTCACAGAAGACCAGCAGGCAGTTTCGAAGCACGGTAGGTGTGATGTGATGCGAGCAAAAACAATCTGTGAGAGATACTGTTGCAAACAGTCGTATCAAGATAAAATCTCGCCAAGTGGCTTTGTGAACCGAGAAGATTCTTCTATCAAAGTTCCATCAGCACAGGAGCCACTGAGAGTCTTTCTCCTTCCTGCCTTGTCCTTGGTGAGCTGGTCCTCCTCCTTTTCTGCATGAGCGTTCCCCATGTGCTCGCGGAAAGAGAGATGTCACAATGGCATTGCTCTGTGCCGCCTTGCCACCAAATTCTCATTCCTCTTGAAGACAAAGAGATCATAGACAAGAAAGACAATGGCCAAATGACAAAGGTCACAGCAATTGCAGCAGCAAAGATCTCAGGTGTGTTAGAGTCATAGGTAGCACGGAAGCGGTCACTTGGATAGATGTGCATTTGGTATTGGGCAAGGGGCCTAAAGGGTGATCTCATGTGATTTGTGTTGTTGCTAACCTTAGTAGTGATTTTCTGAGCCGGTGTGGTGGTGAACTTAGGGTTGGTGTTAGAGCCAAATCCATTGAACCGCATATTCATCATACTTGCTTTCATGATGATCTTCCATGCCTAGAAAGAAAGCATTTTGGCCATCGACCACATAGGAGAAGTTTGCTGCCATATTGCTGGTAACGACACAGGTGATGCCTTGCACTCCATCTGGAATCAGGTTGCGCAGAGATGCATCAAATGCAAAGCCAGCAGAAATCATACCCACAATACTAGAGCTCTGATCAAGTGGATCTTGGTGAACTGGATGCAGGACATATCCATGTGGGGTCTTGGTGGTGCCATTGAACTGACTGTGGTATGTGGCATGGACCTCCGCTCCCAATATGCCATCGGAAGCTCTACTACCTGAGCTTGAGGAACCTGTAAAAACTGTCTCATACTGCAAGTGTTCTAGGGCTTCAACAGCAGGTTCAACATTTCTAAATGAACCAATATTTGTGTTCAAGGCATAGGATAGATCTGGTGGTGCGTAGATTTGATTGGGCCAGTAGGCATCACGAGGCTTGTCCGGGCCAAAGCCTTCAGGGCCAACAGCAGCAATGAAGGGCGGGGGTCGACTGAACCTTGGATCGGTTGAAATGCGGCTAAGGTCACCATAATAAAACATGTGACCTTCATCAACAATCTCCTTGTAGTTGGCATTGACAAACTCAATGTAGGAATCATACTGTTCAGCACTGACACGAGGGGTCCAAGACAAGAACTCCACCTTAGCCTGGGCCATGGCATCTGGGGACAGAGGGGGGCAATGGTGTTGTGAGGTCTGGTGTCTCAAGTTTTCTCCCCTAGCATTGAGGCATGGTGTACTTACTCTCTTTGAGCATGAAGGCCAAACATCGGGATCCTGACATTCGGCCAGTTGTCAGAAATATTGGCAGCCATTGCTTGACTAGAAATGGTAGTCGCAATGGTTCTGAGGGCATCACGAACATTCTTTTGCTCTTCCAGTGCCGCTTCAGCCAGCGTACGACTGAACCGTTCAAAGGCAACCTCAAAGTTGCTTGTCTCCTCAGCCTTGAGGAAACGGTAGGTGGTCAAGGTCACAACAAGAGCAGTGACCAACAAAGCCAAAGTCGCCACAAAGCGCCATAGCCGAACATGCCTCGTGTCCTTGGCAGACATCTTGTAGACTTCCTTCTTCTCATCTCTCTCCTCGGAAGGCGCTCCTTCAGTATCAGTCATCGTTTCAGATACGACAGAGTAGTCATCTTCATCGTCAAAGATCGTGTCGTTGGCCATCATTTTCTCTTTTGTTTCTTGTTTTTGGAAGTTGATCTGAAGTCTGAAGTGAGGTTGGGCTTGCTATCAGGCGGGGTTGTTTTTGTGAATAGAAGTGCAACAGCTCAGAGCAAGCTCGGAGATGCGGTCCAAACTGTTGGCATCTTCGCATCCTCAAGGCAAGGCATCTGCAGGTGATACCGCAGCTTATCAAAGGCTGCGCGTGGCAGAGATATCGGTGCTTCCGCTACGGAACTGCCCAACTGCAGCTCCAACTGCCCAGTTAGAGGGGCCCTGTCAAGACATTTATTCGAATCGCACCTAAACATGCATAAATCATCCTGAATTCTGATGACCGGAAGGATTTTTTCATTAAGTCTCTCCAATAATTATTAAAAGAAGGGAGGATGATCATATTTCGCTGAATTATGACACTATTTGGGCTGCCACCTAAATCTTCCCTCATCACCACCTCACCTCTTAAATAGGGTCATCGTTCGGCCTGTGAGAACATTAAATTTTCTCATTTATCGAAGAAGCCCCGGCAAGAACTCCATAGACTTCTTACCGCTAGTTCACGTCGGTACCACGTATGCATACGCACAAAATTAAATGCAAACAGCTGGGGCGAACCCACTCGTACCAACTCTCGTACCGTTGTACATGTACGATGCACAGCAATTCGAGATTTTTTTCTGCACCTTCCAGGTCAGGCTGTGTTCAAGTAAGTTGTCAAGCTACTTTCACACTTTCACGGCAGTACATGATTGTAGACTTTCACCTTGCCAAAATGAGAAGGGAAGAGAAGAGAAGCAAAGCCGGCACAATAACAAATTATTATGCTGGTCAAAGTTGATGGTCAAGAATCTTGATCTTGACTGTCACACAAGATCCCGTTGCTGGGTACAATTTTAAAATTAGATCTGCTCTAGCTAGCTAGCTCGAGCAGTGCTGAAGTGGGAGGCTATGGAAGAAGCATGGAAAATTTCATGCCCACATCGATCTTCGACAGGTGGGTGGGGCGGAGTGTCTTGAAAACCAAAAAAGTCTACAGTAGCCAGCTACTGTATCATGGTGATAGCCAGACAGGTCAGACAGGAGGTGAAAAATCGCAAGTGTTTCTGGTTGCTTCTTGGCATGGAAGGAATGAGAAGATTTATTTCATCCTTGCCGGCCTTCTGAGCTACTGGAGCGGTAAGACTGCATGACTCCATGGATCCAATGAAACACTCTTTGCTCAGGCTTTGGTGGATGGGTACAGTACGCCGTGGAACGCAGAAGAGCCATAGAATTCGACACTGGTCACTCCATGGGACACCGGGACTGATATGGATCCTCAATCACAATGGGAGGATCCAGGCCACCACCAAGACAGTCTCATCTTCCTCTGCTAGCGGTACAGTACGCAAGACAGATTTCAAGCAATCGTAGCTAGCTACAGCAGTGATGCATTCTACTTTGTGTCCCCTTTTAGAAATACAACGGGTGGTGAGCACACCAGTTTTTTCATAGTTTTGAGTTGATTCATAATATAAGATAGCGCGGCCCAATGCCCATGCGGAACGAAATCCAGAAACAAGCAATGAGAAAGGGATCCTCTTTCGAGTGGATGAATGCGCATCTTTGGGCCCGTTTCGTCGTCGTAACACTCTGTTGATATCCAGCTACTAGCTAGCCAGTAGCGGGAAGCTGGAGCTCAAATTTGATTAGACCGCTGCTATCTATGATTGGCTGGCTGGGGTCGGATGGCTGGTTCTTGGCATGGCCGTGCGTGCCGTTTGTAACTCTGTTTTATTTTTTAAATGCAATATATAGTTTTCAGCCAGAGAAGAGATCGCTTGCATTCTGGTCTTCTCGAGCATTCATTCTTCGTTTGGAAGCACCTCGTAGGTAGACTGGACCATGCCATTGGAGTACGACATGCTTTCCTTCAGTTTCAAATTGAATTGGGGTCCATCGGTGGGGAACAATTTAATGCCACTGCCGAGCAAAATGGGCGCCAGACTGAGACAAATTTCCTGCACCATTCCCGCCTTTAAAAATTCTTGCACCGTCACACCCCCATCAATGTAGGCTTTCTTGTGTCCATTGTCTTGCAACTCTTGCATCAGCTCTTTGGGTGGCAAGGCACTGCAGGACACAGTATCGCGTCGATAGTCAGGGATATCGTCTGGTTTCATGGTGCGACTCCAAACAACCACCTTGAGCGTTCCGTAGGGCCACACGTCCTTGCCAAAGGAGAGAACCTTATCAAATGTATTCCGTCCCATGACCATGCAATCCACCGATGCCAAATAGGCGGCAAATCCCATGTCACCTTCTTCTTTCGCTGGTGGAGGAATGTTGTTGAGCCAGTCAATATCTCCGTCCGCTTTGGCAATGTAACCATCCAGAGAGGTCGCAATGTACACAGAGCCCTTCGTCATGCTACAGCTGAGGAGACTACTACTGGTACTAATACTACTTCTGACGCTTCTATTATCGGGTCCTTTATTCAGAGGATGATGAAACTGAGCTGTGAAGGAGTGGGCACACTGCTGATTGTGCAGGAGAGAGAGTGCAACTAATAATGGAAAGGAAAGACGACCGAGACGACCACAGACTGCAACCATGGCCATGTTTGGCTTTTTGTTCTGGAGGGGAGTGGGCTGTGGCTGTTGATGTCTGCGAACCTGCATGGATCTTTGGATCTTTTTGGATCCAATTCCCGGCTGAGGCGCAAAGATTTCATGCCACTCATGAACCAAGTCAGGCAATCCCCGGTTGGCAAGCAGACGCGAGAAAGGGTTGAAATGAATGTGTTTTGACAATCGCCGTGGGCCAAGCTTAAGCCCTTGGAAACTTTGGTTGCATGCACAGCATGTTAGATTGAAGCAGTGATTTTTGCCAGGTTGAACCAGTACAATAACAATACATTTCGCGGTGTGGTGTTTTAAGGATGTCCCACGGGGGATACAGTGCGTTTTAGTTTTAAGATTATATTTGCTCACTTTTTCGAAAGCTCTCCAAATAGATAAACTTTTCATTAGCTCTTATATCCACCCTATGATTTCGTGGGAATTTGGAACTTCCGACCTCCTCATTCCATCCTCGAAGCATGTCTCGCCATTCCCCTCCGCTGAAATGTTGGCTTTGCGCCTCGTCCTCGTGCGTCCCAGGCCTTTGTCGCTCAATCGTGGACCTGTTGGTATTGTCTGGCCAACTGGCTACTCTGCGTACACCCCAAGCGGTACCGGTACTCCTCGGGGAGTAGGTTGATGGGTGGGATGACAATCGTACATCGTACATCACCTCCACAGTTTCTGCTACTAGGCCCGCGCTCACAGTTTAGAACAAGGAAGCAACCCCAAGCAAAACGAACTTCGAATCTTTGAGAGGCCACAATGGTGAAAATTAGAGTCGAGTCGCCATTTGAAGCAAGCTACTACTAACGCACTCAGTTCGTCAGATCTCAGATATGCATAGTACGGGCCACCGTCTTTTTGTGTTCGCTACGCATCGAAGCCTCCTAATAACGAAACGAACCCTGCTCCCAGCAATGGACCTACGAGTACTGGACCCTCACTCCCCATAAATCTATTGTGGCCAGTGGCCAAACTTAGCTCATGGATAGCAAGGGTCATTGCGTTCCTTCAAAAGCGAGGCTTCTTTCTCTGGGTGCGAAAGGAACGCTCATACCAACGAGGTCGAACTGCCCTCCCAAGCTAGCTACGAGCAGCTCATCCTACATGTACTCCTCCGTTTGGCCATAACACTCATCTATCGAATGGAAATATGGAAATGACGTCATCTGTTAGTCTATTTCCAAAGGAGAGCTGCTCAAGGAATGGCTACATGTAACAGAAAGGAGAGACTGGCAACCTGGCTAACTGGCTGGCTCTAGCTAGCTACATGTAGTAGCTAGCGAGCTAGAGCTAGAGTGCCTTGCTCCTGGCACTCCTCTGACCATCAAACAACAACATAGCTCATGCGTCGAGCTAATAGCCAGCAGCTTCTTTGCCCATCACCCGCTGGCTCACACACGTAGGCAGTCAACAGTCAACCAGGCACCACAGAAAACCTTAATGCTTGTCTGATGAAAGTTCATCACTGTAGCGTTCTTTGCGGGCTCAAAAGACCCCTCTCTGAGTACGAAAGAACCCTAAACAGGAGTACTCTGGACTAAAAAGCTCTTCTGGACATATCGTCGTTATGAACATGACTTTCGGTCTTGGCACTGTCAATAATACTTATTTCTTTCAAAGGTCGTCTTCTCTTTTACAGCAATGTGTTGGTCACTGAAAGGTCCCTTGACCCTTGACCCTCGAACCTCGAAGCTTCGAGTTGCTTGCCCTGGCGAACTGCTTCGGGTGGTAATTGTGTTCCAGTGTTCCTCTTCCCGTTCGTTCAAAACAGGTGCTTCTATGATGGTGGCATTTACAGCTCTTCAGGATGACTTCTCCCACATCTAATTCATTAGTTGCTGGTATTATCGAACGTTTTGTATTTTGTACATTTATTTGCTACAACAGAGAGTCGCGGAATCAAGAAACAAGGAATGACGATTCCATCACCGAACCACATCATTCCAAAAGTTTCGTCAAAGCAGCTTCCGGCAGGAGCTGGGGAAGCACCGCCCAAAGCTGCCAGTTCACGGGGTCTCGGCTGTCATGGAGCTCGCGATCCTTTGCAACCCTGAACACTCTTCCCATTCACAAAATTGAATAGCACGAAGTTTCGCTACTCAGTATACCCAAACTAGTCTACAAGCTATAGCAACAATGTCGTCGACCTGCGAAGATGAGGATGAATACTCCCTCGTATCTGAGACCATGACAGATACTGGAGGAGCGCCTTCCGAGGAGAGAGATGAGAAGAAGGAGGTCTACAAGATGTCTGCCAAGGACACGAGGCGTGTTCGGCTATGGCGCTTTGTGGTGACTGCGGCTTTGTTGATCACAGCCCTCGTTGTGACCTTGACTACCTACCGTTTCCTCAAGAATGAAGAGACAAGCAACTTTGAAGTTGCCTTTGAACAGTTCAGTCGCACGCTGGCTGATGCCGCCCTGGAAGAGCAGACGAATATATGCGCTGCCCTGAGAAGTTTGGCATCTACCATTTCTAGCCAAGCAGTGGCTGCCAATGTTTCTGACAACTGGCCGAATGTCAAGGTCAAGATGTTTGGCCTTCATGCTCAGCGTAAGTAACGTACACTAGACTGCATACCATGCCACAATGCTAACCGAAACAAAGGGAAACAAAATTGAGACACCAGACCTCACCCAACATTGCTCCCTCTGTCCCCAGATGCCATGGATCAGGCTAAAGTCGAGTTCATGTCTTGGACCCCCCGTGTTAGTGCTGAACAGTATGATTCGTACATTGAGTTTGCCACTGCCAACTACAAAGAGCTTATTGATGAGGGTCACATGTTTCAGTATGGTGACCTTAGCCACATTTCGAAGGATCCAAGGTTCAGTCGACCCCCTCCCTTCATTGGTGCCATTGGGCCTGAAGGCTTTGGCCCTGATAAACCTCGTGAAGTCTACTGGCCATCCCAATTGAATTCACCCCCGACACTTTCCTATTCCATGAACCACAATATTGGTTCACTCAGAAGTGTTGAAGCTACTGTTGGAGCCCTAGATCACTTGCAATATGAGACAGTTTTTACTGGTTCCTCAAAGCGAGGTAGTACTGCTACTGATGGCATATTGGGAGAAGAGGTCCATGCCACGTACCACAGCCAGATCAATGGATCATCTGCGACCCCCCATGGATATGGTCTGCATCCAGTTCACCAAGATCCACTCGATCCGAACTCTAAAATTGTGGGTATGGTCTCCGCTGCCTTTGCATTTGATGCTGCTCTGCGCAACCTGATTCCAGATGGAGTGCAAGGCATCATCTGTGTCATTACCAGCAATATGGCGGCAAACTTCTCCTATGTAGTTGATGGCCAAAATGCTTTCTTTCTTGGCATGGAAGATCATCATGAAAGCAAGTATGATGACTATGAGGTTCATGTGGATTTGGCTCTACACACCAACCCAGAGTACACCACCACACCAGGCCATTCCCAGTACCAAATGTACATCTATCCAAGTGACCGCTTCCGAGCTACTTATGACTCAAACACACCTGAGATCTTTGCCATTGCTGTTGCTGTGACCTTTGTCCTTGTGGCCATTGTCTTTTTTGTCTACGATCTGGTTGTCTTCAAGAGGAATGAAAATTTGGTGGCCAAGGCGGCACAGAGCAATGCCATTGTGACATCTCTCTTTCCCGAGCACATGAGGGAACGCCTCATGCATGAAAAGGAGGAGGACCAGCTCACCAAGGACAAGGCTGGAAGGAGAAAGACTCTCAGTGGCTCCTTGACAGATGGAACCTTTGATGAAGAATCTTCTCGTGTTCAAAAGCCACTAGCAGATCTTTATCTTGAGACGACTGGTAAGTTGGACAACATCAGAGTAGTCTCTCCACAGAGTTGATTTATTGCTTCACACTCATACTCTGCAACACACCACACAGTGCTCTTTGCCGATATTACTGGCTTCACTGCCTGGTCTTCTGTGAGGGAGCCATCACAGGTGTTTGGTAAGCACTCAGTTTGTTGCTGTTCTAGCTGGTACTGCGGCCATCATTCTTACACTGATCTGCTTCATCTAATCCCCAATCAAGTGCTTTTGGAGACTATCTTCCATGCTTTTGATGGTGTTGCCAAAAAGCGTCGAGTCTTCAAGGTGGAGACTGGTGAGTTTTGGAAAATCGATCCTGGGCTCAATGCTCGACCATGCAATAGTACTATTGCTCACAAAGGTTCCTCTCTGCTCAGTTGGTGACTGCTATGTAGCTGTGTCCGGGCTTCCAAGTAAGTAAGGCTGGTTGTTTCTGTCTGTCATTGATTGCCTGATGAGGCTTCTTATCCATCTACTTTGCCTTCTGTTGTCTTTTAGAACCAAGAACCGATCACCCTGTAGCAATGTGCAGGTTTGCTCGTGACATCATTGCTAAGATGCGAAGCTTGACCAAAGCCTTGGAGGTATCCCTAGGTAGGCAAAAGAAGAGTTAATAAATTCGGTCTCTGAAAGAATCCTTCTTACCAGTTTTCATTCTCATCTTCTATTCCAGGGCCGGATACCGGTGACCTTGATCTTCGAGTGGGAGTTCACTCTGGGCCGGTCACTGCAGGAATCCTGAGAGGAGACCGAAGCAGGTTCCAACTGTAGGTCCACTTCTATCTTTTTGTGGAGGAGTCTGACTTTGCTTTGGATTCTACCAGTTGCTAACCATGATACTTTGCTCACTTTCTATTCAGGTTTGGTGATACCATGAACGTCTGCCAGCGAGTTGAGTCCTCGGGCAAAGCTGGTCGCATCCATGCTTCGAAAGAAACAGCAGAGCTACTAAAGTCCATGGGAAAGGAATCATGGCTTGACATGAGGACACATGCAGTGAATGCTAAGGGTCTCGGTGAAATGGTCACTTATTGGGTCAGTGTTGCTGGTGAAAGAGCTGGCAGTGTTACTTCCCGTGGCAGCTTTGATGACCTCCACTTTGGAACTGCAAGGAACAGTCATACAAACTTTCTGAAACCAATCAAGGAGTTGGATGCACGGTACGTTGTGCTCCCTACTGCAACCCTAAGGATCCAATGTGCCCTTTTTACAACTAACTCACATTTCTCTCGTGATCCAGAACGAACCGCCTGATCAGCTGGAATTGTGAGATGCTGCTTGAAATCATGCAGCAGGTTGTTGCCAGACGCACTGTCAAGCAAGCCATGAAGATATCCCAAGAAAACAAAGTAGTTCTGCCAGAGAAGGAAAACACCAACCCAATCGATCAAGTCAAAGAGATCATCCAGCTACCAGATTTTGATGCAGAGGCAGCAGAAAGGCAGAAGAATCCAGAAGATGTTGAGATTCCTTCCCAGGTTGTCGAGGAGCTCCACCTCTTGGTTGGTGAAATAGCTAGGTTGTACAATGACAACCCTTTCCACAGTAAGTTTGAGGAGTCACTCCACCCAGTGGCCGCAGCTGTAATGAATCTTTCTGACTAAGCTTGATTTGCCCTTGTCTTCATATTGCTTCAGACTTTGACCATGCTTCCCATGTTGTCATGAGTGTGATCAAACTCATGAGGCGAATTATGGCCCCCAGTGATACTCAACAAGCAGAGAGTGCTGCCAAACTCCATGAGTAAGCCCCAGTTGCTTGGTCTCATCTTCCTTTATCAAAAAGGGTTTTCTCTTACATATGTCCTCGCCTCTTCCAACAACATCCTGTAGCCACACATATGGCATTACCAGTGATCCACTGACCCAGTTTGCCTGTGCCTTCTCTGCCTTGATTCATGATGCAGGTAAGAGAATGACAAACTTTGAAGTTGAGGACTACAGGATTGCTTCTAACAACTCAACTTCTGCTTTCACCCATTGGACAGATCATTTGGGAGTGAGCAATGCTCAACTGGTCAAGGAAGGCACTGACCTGGCAGTGAAATATAAGGAGCGAAGTGTGGCCGAACAGAACTCGCTGGATTTGAGTTGGGAATTGTTGATGGAGCCTCGTTTTGAGACATTCCGATCCTTTGTCTTTAGCGACTCAGCTGAACTCACTCGCTTCAGGCAACTGGTGGTCAATGTAAGTGGTAGCCATGATCAAATTGAGGCACCAGCAAGCTCTTCTCTCTAACCCAAGCTGTTGTTTCTCCTACAGTCGGTGATGAGCACTGATATTGTCGACAAAGACATGAAAACTCTACGCAATGGCAGATGGGACAAGGCCTTCAAGAAAGGAGACAACATCGACTTTGAGGATGAGAGCAAGACTGATGAAGTCAACAGGAAGGCAACGATAGTGGTAAGTACCTAACTAGGAATCCCTCCCTGGTGCAACCAACCCTTCAGCCGCTAATGCCCCTCTCTTTTGGCTTGTTCTTCCAACCATAGATTGAACACATCATCCAAGCATCTGACATCAGGTAGGCATGGTTGGGCCACTTTCTTCTTGGGCCTGTCATTACATTGTATAACTCATGCCCCTTGTTCCCATGTTCTTGCTCCCACTACAGCCACACTATGCAGCACTGGCATGTGTACAGGGTGAGTGGGATGATGTGATGCAAAGTTTTGTCCTCGTGTGGTTCATGCTACTGGTTGAAGGAGTGCACTAACTGTAGACATTTTGCCTGTCTTCCTGCAATTATCAGAAATGGAACCAGAATCTGTTTGAGGAGCTCTATGTGGCCTACTTGAATGGCCGAATGGACAAGGACCCCGCGACTTTCTGGTACAAAGGAGAGTTTGGATTCTTTGACTTTTACATTATCCCCTTGACGAAGAAGCTGAAGGAGTGTGGTGTGTTTGGTGTGTCCTCTGGAGAGTTCCTCGACTATGCCACCAAGAACAGAGAGATTTGGGAACTTCGTGGTGAAGAGGCCGTGGCAGAGATGATAGCTGAAGCCAGGGAGAAGTATGGAGTCAAGAATGAGGAAACCTGCAAGGAAGCACCGGAGCAAGCCATTCCACGCCCTCCTCCTGTTGAAATTGATGTCTAGATCTGAAGTGCTGTCTTGCTCAGGACACCTCTTTCCTTTCCTCCTGGATCTCTCTTCCTTGTCCTCCAAGTTTTTGTGTCTCCCTCCCGTCGGTTCGTCCAGGCTCTGTGAAACTGCTCCACGGGGGAGATAGATGTTTAGCTTTTTTATGTGGAGTGAGTCGAGTCTGCACAGCTCATCCGCTACCTTTTCTGGTTCCACTTTAGTCACTCCCTGGCTTCAGTTTGGCCTGTGAAGAATCATGTCATCTCTAAAAGGTGCTCACAATGGCGCAGGCGTAGTTTTTGTGTCCATGTTAGATATAAGTTTATCAATACGTTTCAATGCATCCGGCATTCCTGTTGCCTCCACAAGCATCCCAGCCAATGACACCACGGTGTCGTGCTCAAAAAGGAAAAGCTGTCGAGGATCTTTGACTCTGGAACCGAGGAGTGAGTCTAATCGCTACTTCCCTCGAAAACGACTGCGGCGAGTGCCTGGCTGCGGCGGGGCGGTGTCCCACCATTCGACGGGCACGCCGAGTTTGTGGTATGGTACGAAGAATCATAGTGATCAGACTGCTCAAAAATCCTACTGTACTACATACCTACCGTACCTCGATGCCCTCTTGGGATATGGAATGCGTTCCGGTGCTTTCGTACGAGTCCTCGGGGAGTAGGGCTCGAGTCGAGTCGAGTCGAGTCGAGTCAGGCTCGTGGCTGTCGACGAACTGAATCAAATCAAATCCCCGAGAACGAGACCTAAAATGGCCGGCCGGTTGTGGATTTGTCGTTACTGTGCAGCCGTCTTGGAGTTCGAGTACGAGCCTCCTCGTAAGAAGGTGGGAGCGAACAGTGACTGGCCATGGCACTCCGATGGAATGAATTCTGCACGTTTGACTTCTTGTTTGGCGGCAAAGCAAAAGTTGAGCGTCACTTGGGTCTTTTTCTCTTTGGCCGCGACTGCAAGTGCCGTATCTGTGGTCAACAACAACAAGCCCAGGAACGTCAAGCAAGCAAGCGTACCGGTATTCAAACGATTCTTGTCTGCAGCTCCATTGGGCTGCTGCAGTGGAGGCGCACGAGACGAGACGAGACGAGAGCCAAACGAAATAAGATCATAAATAATGAACGTTGGTTGTTACAGTACGTACGAGCCGTTCTACTGGTCCTAAAACGATGAAATGAAAGATTCAATCAGACGATTGAGGGATATGGCTTTGCTACGATAGCTACACGTAGGGCTTGGTCTTTCGAACGAACAGGATTACTGGCGTGGTCATTCGGTTCGATTCGATTCGATTCAATTCGTTGAAATCATTCTGACCGTCCGCGAGGCCACCACAAAAAACCAAGTGTATAAAGTAAACTAAAAAAAAAGATACAAGGGCAAGAAAACACAAAAAGAAATCAGAAACACTTGGTTTGGGTTTGTGCAGTGCATTGCATTGCATTGCATTGCAGTACCGTAGTATGCAAGTCGAGTAGTGTCGAGTCATTCAATCCATTTGTTCGCCAGCAATGAGGCCACGAAGGTCCTCCTTTTCCGGATCTACTATCAAGCTAGATTCATCTAATCATCCTCGGACAACCAACAAAAAAAGTCAAAATGGCTGAAGGCGCAAGCAGCCAAACTCACCAGTTTTTGTTGAAAAATTCCACGCTACGAATTTTCCTTCCTCGATCAATCAAGAAGGATGGATGCCAGGAGTAAAAAGGAGGTAGTAGCGGTTGTCCTCATGAAGATCCTCTCACTACTGGAAGAAGTGGGTGCCGGAGTGGCGGCCGGTTCCGGTGTGGCCCCGAGGTTCGACGATCCCCCGGGTCCTCCCGCACAGGATCCATCGCATCCGAGAAATGGACACGGTCCAGCATTTTCCACGCCGGTACAATTGATCGACACGGCTCCTTGGGCACCCTGGGGACAGACGCCACATCCACATGTGCGGGTGGCTCCAGTGGCACCATCCGTAACAGTAGCGGCACACGTACAGCCTTCCGATTCTTGAAAGTTCAAACCAACTTGATCATCCAACAAACAATTGATGGACGCCGCAATGGAATTGGTCACGGTCTGGTCGGGACCCAATTGCAACGTCATGGACGATTCCACTTGACACGAAAACCGGTCTTCCCCATCGGCAGCGCAAATACCAGGATCCACTGCCTGAGGAGACACCTGATGGACCGTTGCCAAGAGCAATACGGTAGTAGTAGTAGTCAACAATCCTAATCGCATCATCATGGTCGTCCCGAGAATGTCTTTTGTGGCACCTTGGACCCTCCTTCTTGCAGATGAGGACCAAAATTGGGTGGTTGCTCAGTCGCGGTTATGCGGGTCACAGAGGTCATTGATTGTGACACCAATTAAGCCAGCCGATACGATTAATCGGGGTGAAGGCGGCAACCCAATCTGACATGAGGAAAACACCCACAGCCAACCAGCCAAGAAAACAAAGACCAGCGGTGGTCACAAAACAGTGGAGAGATCCCAAAGCCACTGTAGCTATCCGACAGTCATGGCTGGGTGACTGTATGTAATCTGATCTGAACGATTGATTGATTGAATTCACAACATAATAAGATACCCAAAAGCTATCTATACTGTGCCTCCAACCATGAGATTATTTCTGCTTTCTGCTGGGTATATTCTACATGTACTTTCTTGTGTGGTGGTAGCAGCCGAAGACTGTCCTCCGATTCCCGACTTTACGGCGGTCTATCATTACGATTCTGTGTGTGACAAGAAGGCTCAGAATCGGTTTCAAGATTCGTTGGATCGAGGTCGGCAAGCACGTCAATTGCAGGCGTCCGGCATTTATCATGTTCCCAATCGATTGACCCGCCATTGTCCCATGGATGTGCAAGACATGTTGCAGCATGACAATGACTATAACGCCGACAACATTTATCATTATGGATTCAACACCATTTGGCTGGTACACAATACCGCCAGCACTCCAGTGGTCATTAGTTGGGTCGATCGCAAGAATCAAAAGCAACTTCCAGACAGCGATAATAAGTACTACTATGAAGAAGTCTCTGCCATTGATGGCAAGACCAGTCCTCCTCACAAAGATCCCAACGCCATTCTACAACCCGGACAGTGGAAAGCCATGAATACGTACGATGGACACGTCTTTTACATTCGTCGTCTTATTGTACCAGAAAACAACAACAATACTACCGGTAGTACAACAAGATTGGGCCCCATTTTGATGCAACATCGCGTCGGTCTCATTCCCATTCGCAACGTCTTTGGCCATGCCCTCGAACAGTACTGCGATCCCAACGATCCCGATTTGGAACCCATTGTCGAAATCAAGGAGACGCATCAAACCCAACGTGCTCCGGAATTCCAGCGCTCCTTACGACCCCCACTACGACCCTGCAATACCCAAGACATTGGATTTCGCAATCTCGTTGGCTGTCCTTTGAATGTCTATTATTCTTCCACCTTCAACATGACGGGGCAACCCCGTGCCGCCGGTGAAGCGTGTAGTTTTACCCCCAAGAGTTGTCATGAACAATTCAAATTCCATCTGGGAACCAATCCTTACACCACAGATTTTATGTGGGCGTGGGACAGTCAAACCAAATTTGAAGGCACGTACGTCGGACACAATTTTGTCTTTCGATTGCGGGCCAATGATGATATTGTCGTCGATAGTGTCACCGTACAACCAACGTATGTGCAAGAGTGTGCGGAATTGATGGAGAATCAACAACACAATGATCACTTTCGAAAATCAATACTGGTGAGACAAGAAGAACAAGAAGCACAAAAGCAAGCTATTATGGAGCCCACACAGTTGCTACGACACGCCAACGAGAATGCCAAAACAACCATCACCACACCCACAACTGCCACAACCAACACCAAGCCAACCTTTGATGACGAAGAATTCTAGCTAGCTAGCCAACTAGCTAGCTATCCAAGACAGTACGGTACTACGGTGCAATCAATCGATCGATGCCATTCCTGAATCAAATCAATCCACCAGACGCGGCAGCTAAGTATCGGCACAGTGCGGTACTGTAGGAGGTATCACATTATTGCATGCCGTTTTCTGCTGCAGGCTCGACCAAAGCGAGAAATACGGGAATTCGTACATGTATGAGTTGTTGAGTGAGGCGCCTGGCCCAACGCAGAGCTCGTGCCATTCTGGAAGAATTACTTCAAGGGCACGAAACATGCAGTCTTTGCAGTGCAATCGAATCGATTCAAATCAAATCAAATCAAATCAATCCACCAACGGAATCAAAGCAGCCAGACCCAGGACTATACTTCTAGCCAGGTGGTATCTCTGCTTGCCATGTAAACTTGCGCGAAAATACTGGCTCTCAGCAATGTTGTGGTTGCTGCCGTGGACTGGTACGGTAGTGCCATGGATTGGTGCCTTCGGTCGGATATATTATATTGGCATGCCTGGGCTATGATACAAAGGCCCTGCGATGCTCGGGCATTTTTCTCTTTGACGATGCTCAACTTCATGACATGGATCGTCCGTTCGCGGCAGATACCGTACGGATCGTCCATGCATGGCAGACGTTACCTTGCGCTTCTCGGCAAGGTTAATTGTTGGTTGAGGGCACGCCTGATGCATGGATCGAAGGAATGCAACTCGGCAACAACTCCGAACAGACATGGGGCGATGCTTGCGCGCAGAACTCACTTAGCGTTGTCTTGCCTCGCCTCGCCTCGTGCAACCACATTCATGATCATAGCTCTGCTGTGAAGACAAGGCACCACCAGGGTGTCCTTCTACAGTGAGGTTGAACTACTGGTGTTTGCTTGGCGTTTCGATGCAATGAAGGCAGCGTTGCGAGTTGGACTGAAGCTTCTTGATTCTAGCTAGCTACGTTTTAGCGTCGCTTCAACAATAAGAGTGCCTGCAAATTGTGCAGAGAGATGACTCGAGATCATTGCTGGCGACATACATAATTCCAGAGACACTTCATCGCGGGTTGAACACTGAGCATCTCTTTGCGGCGAATGATTCGATGATCCATATCTGCGGGAATTCAAAGTGTGGACTACCACGTTCCTGTACCGGTAGGTTGATTGGCTGCGCATTGAACTCTCCGACTCCGAGAGCTATCGAAAGGACTAATGCATAAAATCAAACTTAGTCCAAGGACGTGTTACATTCGAGCAGCCCGCAACGTCGGTACCAAAACTTGTTGAAGCTACGAGAGGTAACAAAGATGACATGAAGACGATATGGTTTGATGTGGGTGCGCTGCTGTACCGGCACCCGTACAGTACCTGGTACGCTGCTGTTGCTGCTACCGTACCGTATTCTTCCACGCTATGAGACCACGCTGTCGTGGGTGGATGCGTTGACCCTCATTTTTTGACCTCCGTCTACACTCGACTCGCCCTCTTTCAATCCGCTTGCGGAGTTCCTCCAAGAGTCACTTATTTCGCCTCAAACTCATTTCCTGTGTGGCCAGAACAATCCAAAAAGGACTCGTGAACAATGATCTCCTTCTTCAACTTGAGGTGGTGTCTTTTATTTCTCGCGTTGGCGCCACAGCTTTTTGTGCGAGCTCGCCTCGTGGGACACCGCGCCACCACCGAGGCATCCACCAAGACCGCCGCCAATGCCGTCGACACAAGTTCATCGTGCCGTGCTGCTTCCGAACAAGATGCAGAACTGTTGTTGTCCAAGGAATTCATGATTCACAAAGTCCATGTGGCGACGCACTTGTCCGACATTGTCAACCGCGAGGAGTACGGTCGCATTGAAGACATGATTGACGAACAACGAAAAGTCTTTGAACGATTCGATGGATTTCATGACTACAACGATCAATCGCTAGTGGCCAAGACCAAGGATACGCAAACCTGCTTTGTAACGTTTCAATCCACCGACCCTGGCAATGGCGTCGTGGCATTCTTGATGGATCAATGGCAAAATGTGAATCCGTTCAAGGTTCGAATTGGTACTAGTGACTGCTATGCTCGAAAAGGATACGTTAATGCATACAATGCGTCTTCTTACAAGGACGAACAAAGGTGCGTGCGTTGTCGGTTTCGAGTGAAAAGCTAGCTACTAGTGGCGGAATGATGAAGGAAGTTTTATTTTGTGTCAAACGAGGTTTGCTCACTATCGACGTTTACTTGATCTCTCTCTCTCTCGTCCAGGAAAAGCATTGACGCCTGTGTGGCGTCTTGTGGCGACACACCATGCCCACTGGTCTTGAGCGGGTTCTCTCAAGGTGGCTCTGCGGCCGTCGTTGCCGCCGCGGATCTCGCACACTACAATCCCGAAGTCATCACGTTTGGAGCTGCTCGGGTCATTGTCGACCGCGACAATGCACCTTGTACCGAATCCATCAATCCTGCCAATCACTATCGTTTCGTCACCGCGGATACGGCAACCGGGTATGTTGCTTGTTGTGATCCCTTCCAACCAGCACCTTCTCTTCGCTTCGCTTCGCTTCCTCACCTTTCTGTTTCCTCTCTTCATACCTCTATACCAGTTATGATGCGATCCCCAACCAAATCAATGTTTGGAATGAACGGCACGTGGGACACTTTTTCTTGTTGGATGCAGATGGCGACAATCTGCCTCTCAACATGCCTTCCATGGATGACAATGTGTCGAGACGACCGAGAACGTTGGATATGCACGATTTCGTCTTGTACCGAGAACGAATTGAAGCCCTCCTTGAGTCTGATTGCTTTCCCCTTGCCGTTGCCAAATGGTCCGTTGGACACTACTGTCGTTACGACGATGAATGCTCCTCGGAGTCTTGTGTTGAGTTTGCTTGCGCGTAGTACAGAGTCCGCTGATCACCGGGAAAGGCGGAGCAGGTCCGTGCAATGGACAAAATGATATAGGTGCTGTCTTGTTGAGTCGAGTTGGGTGGCCACAGACGAACAAATGCCACTTCCTGGGATTGGGCGTTGGTGCTTGGGTGCCGTACTCCATCTGGATGATTCGCGTCTCCGTCCTGTTGCGTACCGTACCACGGTTTTCAGCAAGCCCAACTTGGTGCAAACGAGTCGAGCAACATCAAAGTATAGCCACGGCTTGGAGGTCGAGTCACGTGACCCTGAACACCCATCAAGCTTTATACGTTTTGCTTGGCCACAATCCTGACGGTAGTTGATGCAAGGATCAAGGAAAAGTCATTCAAGCCGTCCCTTGTATTATAATAATAGCATTCACCAACCCCCCACCAGACCAACATACTCCTCCATGGTTGCCTGCCTAGCTACGATGATGATGATAGTGCCCGCGTCTCTTGCCGAATCGACCTGCCAATCACGTAGGCAGCCACAGAACAGGGGATGATGAGTAGCGTATAGAGTAGATTGGGGATGAAAAAGTTCCCGTCCAACTGCTTGACGGTAACGTTGGAGAGTGGAATGTTCCAAAAGGAAGCGGCACCACCGGCCAAATGCAGCACACCGACTCCCTTGCCCACCACACGACCCGATAGCAATGTCGGGATGTAGCTAAAGACAATGGAAAACAAAAAGCATCGGTAGAAAGAAAAGACGAGAAATCCAAAGATTTGCACGCCATTCAATTCTTGGCAGAATAGTTGAATCAATCCGTGCATGGCCCCCAGGAAACAAACGGTTTGGAATCCGGCATGAAATCCAAATCGTGCCACCATTTGATCGGTAAAGGGAACGCCCACAATAGATGCCGGCATGAGGAGCGTAAATGTGGCCAAGTATTGTTGACTCTGTTCGTCGTTGCCATCACCACCGAGGTACGCGAGATAGTCTCGTGCCGTGGTGAGGACGAATTGATTGCGTGCCAGGTTAATGGCAAAAAAGAGCACCAGCATGCCAAACGGCCACGACAGTAGTTGTTCCTTGTGCGTCCGTTGACGGATCGGAACATACATGGCGTCAATTGTTGTCGTGTCGAACTGTTGTTTAATACATGTAGTATCATCGTTGGGTGGTTCTGGATTGTCAGGATCGGTAGTGGTGACATCGACCTCGTCCACCGTTTCTGTTGGACCCGAGGTTATTGCTGGGTTGATGATTTCCGATTCGTCTTGAGCCGCAATGATCATGGTACTGGCCGCGACCGTATCCAACGTGCTTCTCTTGATTGGATTGTCTTTTTGAATGTCATCATCATCATCATCTTGGGCTAGTAGGTCACCGGTAGTAGCAGCAGTAGTGCATGTAGTTGGAAACGCCTCCTCCCCCAATGCCACCCAAAAGAGAACGACACCTCCAAAACAAAAAAAGGCCAGTATCAGGTACAACCCAAAGACAACCGATATGGAAGGTCCTGCCTGATAGATTCCCCAGAGCCCCAAGTAAGTGACACTGCCCGCATCAAAGAGTGCATTGAGCCCGGAAATGACTCGTCGTTGGCCCATGTGACTGTCTTGTTGTTGTTGTTGGGTTTGCGTGTTGTCTTCTGTCGTGGTGGTCATCTTGTCTTCTTCTTCGGATTCGCCCCTCATTTCTTCTTCTTCCATTTTAGGTGGATCCGCAAATACCATTCCCGTCTTGACCGTCATGATAGAGGTAGCGGTGGACATGAGTCCAATGCCCACAAATGCCACAAAGAGTAGATAATCGTGGGGAATAGCGACAGCCGCCACTAGAAAGGCCACACCCGCGCATCCACACAGTCCCAAAAAGGACATGAGAGCCACGGGACCCCAGCGATCCACCACAATTCCCAACAAGGGACTCACGAGAATCATGGTTTGTCCCACAAAGGGGCTGAACATGATGAACACGAAATGGCGCTTGAGATGAGATGTATTCGTACGGTACTTGCTGAAGTATGGATCGGTCCTGATTGATTGACTGACTGACTTACATGGTCAAAAGACGAGCCGTTTGTTCCGGACACACTTCTTGCTCTGCTGGTGCTTGATCCTCATACGTGCTATTGTTGCTGGACGTACCAGTGTCATTACCAGCAGGGCAGAGCGAGTGAAAGGCGCCGCTTTCTTCGAGCATGAGTTGCATGGGACCAAAGCCAAAGAAAGCTCCCGCAAACAAGGGAATGTACAACACAGAAAACACCAGGAGGCCCACTTTTCGTTGTTTCAAAGAGAGAGACCATCTTGGAGGTGATGACGACGGTGGATGGCTGGTACTAGTAGAGACATCGTCTTCCTCCATCACACTGCCATTCATGGCGATCATGTGGGGTTCGTCTAGTCCACTCATGTTCTATTGAAACAAGCAATGACGAGATGAAGCTCTACTATTTAGCTCTAGCTAGCAGCGCCTTTGTTGTGCTCTTCTTGACAAGCAGAGGATCGAGACACGAACAAGCAAACCACTGAAACATCTCATGGCCTTCCGCTGCCATCTTCATCGTTGTTTGGGTTTGGGAATGGCTGGTTGGAGTTTGAGGAGGTTGACCCGGATCTTTGGAGCAAGAAAGTGCATTTGAAACTTCAAAGCAAGACTTATTGAAGATCCATTGAGACTTAGGAGCGGATCTTCCGAGTGACGCCTCGAGGATACCGTTGCTGTTCCTTCTATCCTCGTGCTCACAGACCGTTGCTGGCATTCGACGTCTGCCTTTCATCTTGTCTTTGTTAGATTGGCGTTGAAGCTCACCTGTATGCATAGGCCTGGCCTGGGGATACACAGGAGCTCTTCCAAGCAATTTGAAACAGCATCCCATTATCCTCAGGACGACTCTCAGCATGCAGCCAGAAGGTCCCACAGTGACAATCTGAGACATCCACGGTCTCCCCTGTCTCCTTAACATCTTTTCCTACTAGTAGAGAACTCCAAGATTATTGCAGAAGTACAGCCTTCCTCGACTATACATTAGCTAGCTTTTAAAATACCGTGTTGCCGGGTTGTTGCTTGTTTGGCACGGTCCTACTAAAGATATCATGTGGCAATGCAAAGTCCTGTCTCATCACACCAACTGGTGCAGCAAGCACACTGGATTGCAGGAAACCCTGTTTCTGCGTTGGGCAAAAAGTCAGTCACTGTAACCTTGGACACAAGCTTGGAAGCTGTTGGCCCAGCTAGAATATTTTGGCAGAAAGAGACCGGAATAGTCCCAGTCAGATCATTCCCATATTCATGAGTAGTTGCCTTAGCACCATCAGTGCCTCAATTTCAACTGGCAGGGTGCCATGAAACCTGTCGTTGGCTCAAGGTGTAGCCAAAGTAGATTTGTCAACAGACCAACTGATGAACTGATTGTGCCAGAAAAATTGCAACTGCTAACCGCCAACAACTGGAGATGCTCAGGTTCAGTGTAGATTTCAGCCATCAGGGATTGTTCCTTGCATATTGGTGTTAGAGAGAAGAATTTCTTTAAGCCGGATTGCAAGGCCAATCTCGGAGGGCAATGACCCCGAAATATACGTGTAGTGCAGGTGCAGGTATTCCAAATTTGTCGGATGTCATGTCACCTGTTGCAGGAGAAGGCATATAGCAGAAACCGGATAAAGTGCCCCCCTGAAGCAAGAAGTGGAGGTGAGTTACATTCTTTCCATGGTTTGTACCTCGTGGTTTGATATCTAGTAGAAGAGCACTAAAAGAAACCTTTGCACCAAATTAGGAGCATCATACTCCAATTGCATTGGGTCCTGATTGACAATCCAATCAAAGGCTTTCTGTCTTGTTTCCAGCAAGAATACTAAAGCAAGATCATCATCATTGTCTTGTCCAGATTCTTTCACCTTTTGAAAGTTGTCAGTAACCAAAATGATTGTCAATGCAATTTCTATCTTGGGTGCTTCAACCGCATCTCTGGTTGTCGTGGGCGCCATGGTACTGCTGCTACAGTATCCACATAGACCTTCTGGCTGCAGTGTCCTGTGCCACAGACAGCACGCGGACCCGGTTGAGAAAAACACGGTCCAAGGCGTGGGAATGGATCCACGCCACCCCCTCGAAAGTTCTGGAAGAATAGAAAGGCAGCTGCCGGAAGACAGAAGGCGACCCGAAAGATACCGGTAAAAGATCTCCTTCGCTGTCCACTGTGTCCATGCTGCACTTCTTCCGGTATCCTCCTCCCTCCAGATCCCTGCAGTTTCCCACCAATGAAGGTCATTATTTCTTTGTTTGGAGTTGCTTGTCTTCTTTTTCAGTGTTGGCCACTGCTGCTGCTTCTACTCCATGAGCTCTTCCAACCACAACAACTTGGCCGAGACGGCCTTGATTGCCGGCGTGGCGGCGGCCATTAGTGCCTTTGTGGTCCACCGCCTGATAAGCAAGGACAATAGTCCTCCGTACCCCTACCCCGCCACCTTTCTGCAGAGTGGTCGGACACTGACGGGTACCGAAGAGACGACGGTTCTGCAAAGTCGCGGTTGGTCGATGGAAGAAGCGCTCAGTAAGGCCAAAGAAGGATCCCAAAAAGCCAAAGAAAAGGCGCCACTGCAAGTCTTGCTGTCCTTGCAAAAGGGCAATTCTCGGTTTTGGACCGGTGCGGCCTCACGTCCTGAAGTTTCCGCCTTTGAACGTCGTGCTCTCATCAAACAACAATTTCCTTCCACGGCCGTACTGGGTTGTTCCGATTCGCGGGTCCCGGTCGAAATTGTCTTTGATCAAGGACTCGGGGACATGTTTGTCGTCCGAGTTGCTGGAAATTGTCTGGGGCCGACTACGTGTGCGTCTTTGGAATATGCCATTCATCATTTGCAAGTCAAGGTAGTGCTGGTCATGGGACACGAAGGATGCGGTGCCATTCAAGCCGCACGGCTGCCACTGGAGAAAATTCAAAACGAAAGTAAATCGCTCTCGGAAATTCTTCAAAAGATCAAAGCCGGATTGCAAGACGATCACTTGTCCAACATTGTCGATGCGCGAGCGAGAGATCGAGAATTGGTGGCCATGAATGTGCGCAATCAACTTCAACAGTTGGTACAAGATCCGCAAATCATGGACAAGGTCAATGGCGGCAATCTCATTATTGTGGGAGCCTTTTACGAGATATCGTCCGGCATTGTGGACTTTTTCATGCAAGTTTCCAAACCGAATGGTAGTATGAAACCGTCGACGGGGGTGCAAAGTCGATATGATCCAGAGACCAAAGAAATCATTTTTGCGTAAACTACACTAACTATTAGTTATGTAGATCGTTTTCAGTGCTGCTCCTGCTGTTTCGGCTGCCTGGCTGCAAGTCGTTTCAGCGTTTTAGAGTAGATACTAACAAGTAGCCAAAAGAAGATGAGACAGTGCTGGAACCAGAGGGCAGCCTTTTTTTCCCTCGGAGTCCTCCAATGACGAAATCAAAAGAGTGCTCAGGCTTTCTCTACCCAGTCCCAAAAGAAAGGTGTGGTTCCAGTGAAGACGTCTCGCGTCCTCCTTTCACGGTCTGGACCATCAGAAATCATTGAGATGGCGCTAATTGTAGGCAGATGTATACATGCTGTACAACGGAATCAGATGGCAGTAGACATCAGGGGATGAGGCACCTGGGTAGAGAGAGTGCACCAGGATCATTCTTGGCTGGTGCATCATTGTTGTTACTGCCGGGAGTACTCCTCCTTCGAGGAACCGCCGATGGGAGAACTTTGCCTACTGTACTAGCTACCGTTAACGGTCGCGATGGTTGCCGTTCGGCATACCTACTGTGCTAGCTAGAATACGAGCCCACCGTTGCCCTCTAAGCACGTACCGGGCGGCAAAATCGAATGAATCTTTTTGGAAATGCCGTCGTTTCCTCTTTACGGTCCTTTATCCTTCCAAGAGCCGATTGCAACTACTGATACATATAAAAAACAACGGACAGCGTTGCCTACAATGCAACAATGTTGTGGTATGTATTCAGAAGCGAAGAGGTGGCAAGACACTTGCTGGGTGCGGTACATCATACTGGTGCCGGTTCCGGTGGCGGCCTTGTGCGGAGACGAATGGGAAAACACGGTCCGAGGCGTGGGAATAGATCCACGTCACCCTTTCGAAAGTTCTGGAAGAATTATGGCAGGTGGAGGAATGAAGGCAAACCGAAGATACTAGCTAGTACTAGCATTACTAGCCAGTACCTCAAAAGATACCGATACTATTTTCTTTTCGATGTCTGCTGCGTCCACTGCGTCCACTTCTATCCTCGAGAACCCTGCAGTACCGACCGATGAAGGTCATTTCTCTGTTTGTGGTTGCTGGACTTCTTTTAGTGTTGGCCACTGCTGCTGCTTCTGCTCCAGAAGATCCTCATTCCACCATGAACTCTTCCAACCACAACAATTTGGCCGAGATGGCCCTGATTGCCGGCGTGGCGGCGGCCATTAGTGCCTTTGTGGTTCACCGCCTGAGCAGCAACAACCAGAAGGAGAGTACCCCATATCCTTACCCCGGCACGTTTCTGCAGAGTGGTCGGACACAGACGGGTACCGAAGAGACAATGGTGCTCCAAAGTCGCGGCTGGTCGATGGAAGAAGCGCTCAGTAAGGCCAAAGAAGGATCCCAAAAAGCCAAGGAAAAGGCGCCCCTGCAAGTATTGCTTTCCTTGCAAAAGGGCAATTCTCGGTTTTGGACTGGAGCAGCCACTCGTCCTGAAGTCTCCGCCTTTGAACGCAGGGCACTCATCAAACAACAATTTCCTTCCACGGCCGTACTGGGATGTTCCGATTCGCGAGTCCCAGTCGAAATTGTCTTTGATCAAGGACTCGGGGACATGTTTGTGGTCCGCGTCGCCGGCAATTGTCTGGGGCCCACCACGTGTGCGTCCTTGGAATATGCCATTCATCATTTGCAAGTCAAGGTAGTGCTAGTGATGGGACACGAAGGATGCGGTGCCATTCAAGCCGCACGGCTGCCACTGGAGAAAATTCAAAACGAAAGTAAATCGCTCTCGGAAATTCTTCAAAAGATCAAAGCCGGATTGCAAGACGATCACTTGTCCAACATTGTCGATGCGAGAGCAAGAGATCGAGAATTGGTCGCCATGAATGTGCGCAATCAAATTCAACAATTGGTACAAGATCCGCAAATCATGGACAAGGTCAATGGCGGCAATCTCATTATTGTGGGAGCCTTTTACGAGATATCGTCTGGCATTGTGGACTTTTTCATGCAAGTTTCCAAACCGGATGGTAGTATGAAACCGTCGACGGGGGTGCAAAGTCGATATGATCCAGAGACCAAAGAAATCATTTTTGCGTAAAACTATCTTCTCTTTTGTATAATCTAAACTATACTAGTAGGTCACTATAAGGACTCCTGCTGTTGTGGATGTTGTGTCTGCCTGGCGTGAGCGTTTGAGATTCGATACCAACAAGGAGCCAACAGATGATGAGACAGTGGCAGGGACCAGAGGGAAGTCTTCGCTCTGGGTCTGTCCCGACGAAATCAAAAATCTCCCGCCGACCTGCCGTACACTCGTGGAACGAAAATTTGCTACTAGCTATAGGAACCGGTGGAAAAAACTTCATGCTTCCCATCAACTTATTGTTGCAGCACTCTCTTTCCATAGACTCAACAGTTTGACTGTGGTGCTTTCTTCTTTTCCAAGTTTGGCTCCACTTGTTTAGGTTCTGCTTCACACTCCACCAAATTCCTCATAAACCTCCATTGCATTTCTTCCCCCAGTGTGGAAAGTAGGGCCTCATAGTGCTCTTCAACTGGAATCTCCACCAAGTTTTCAGGTTTAATGCACTTGACTCCATCATATCTATCCACTGTCACAAGATGTCGACCATTTCGCAAGCCATTCTCACTGACAAGGCCCAGCTTCCCGTTCATTGCTGAGCCAGAAGGGCTGGTGAGGCCACAGAGGGTTACCCAGGCATGAGCTCTGATTACCCGTTGTTCATTGTCATTGCTGGGCGTGCCTTGTTTGCGATCCTTAACTCCTGCTATATACTCCAGCACTACAGCTTGTGATTGAAAGAACTCCGAGTCACTGGCATTTGATCCTTCTTTTGAAAGACTCCTATAGAGCGCCAATGCTTCCAGCAGCTGTTGAGGTGTGCGGTGGTGGACCATAGTCTCAACCTCCTTTGAAATGTCATGAACTCCATTATGTAGGAAACCAGAGAGAAGGTGCGCTCGCATATATGTCATATCGCTGATGGTACGATCACGCGTATATTTATACTCCTTGAACGATTCAAGTGCCACCTTTGTGACTCGAATGAGTATGTCATCGTGGTGAAACCATTTCGGTATTTCTGACTCTTTTCTTTGAACATCTGCGTACTGTACACAGAGATCACAGACACCTGTAGCCCAGCCCCACATGTCCTTCTTGAGACGCTTCACATCCACAACAACGCCATTGTTGTAATTGCGCATCAAGGTAGTCAACGCAACACGCTTGATTCCTTCCTGGGTGTTTGAGATGAATTCACTCTCCATACCTGACATACGAAACATACTGCCAAGGTATGTAAATGCTTCTGGCCGTCTTGTATCAAGTTTTTGTGCTTTACGAAACAGTTTCTTGGCACCTGCGTAGTCACCAGAATTGATCTTCCTTAGTCCAGCCACAATCAATGCATCATAGTCAGACCACTCTTCTCTTTCCAGCAAGATAATCTTATGTGTACCAATAGCATTCTTTGCATCTTGTCCCCAAGTTTCATGCCATTCTTTGTGTTTTGGCCAGGTTTGCTTGCTGCACGTTTTGGAGCAGAAGAGAGCTGGAACAAAGCCTTCATCTTTGCACTGGCTACATTGCAACTTAAATGGCTTGTCAGCTGGCTCTTCTATCTTGCAACCACAGCAGACCCTTCTTGCTTTCAGATCTGGTGGTCGCTCCTCCTTGAGTTCATTGATGAAATCATCCATAGTTGTCATGAAATGAAACACTGTGTGTGCCTTTAGAAGATTATTCAATTGGGATACTTGGTACAGCACTTGGTACCTTTTGATCTCACCAAGACTTTGTCGACGAAGCGTCCATGCAATAACCACAAAGGAGAAACCAGCTCGAGGGAAGCCCTCGGACAAGTGTGCTTTCAACGCGTGCAAACAGCAGAGCTGTCAGATCGAGAATCAGGATCGAAGGCTTCACCCATTCCTCTCCCCTTGTCCTCTCCCTCCCTTTCTGCACTTCCCTTCAGTTGGAGGTATCAAACATTGGCTCCTTCCCTCCTACTCTATATTTCATTCACTCAGATCCTCTCCTCAGCACTCTCTAGACCTCTCATAACCCTTAGTAACCCAAGTAATAATAAAACTGAACAGATTCAGACAAGATGTGCTTGAGGACGACCTACAAGCCAAGTCCCGGGTGTTTCCCACAATCAAGTCTGCTCACCGGCCCCACTAGCCTGTGTTGAACGAGCAGAGCCCAATGCCCCCGCATTCGCTGCAAGTCAAGCTAGGATTGCTGGGGAGCACAGAATGATCACCAATACAATTTTGTTGTTAATTAATGTGTATGTGAAACTACTGCGCACGTGGCTTTATAAGAATTACCGCTACTTTCCTTGATTCTCTCGCATCCCACGCACCCCTGAACACTCTTGGTTCGACCGATGGAGGATGGAACAGCACTTTGCGCATGGTCTTTGCATAAGGAAAATAAACATGGATTACAACTTCAGGACTGAGCTCGAGAAGGAGAATGGCACTCTGGGGCGGTAGGATCAAGCTAGAAGACCGCCACTGAGAATGTCTTCCAATGCAGAATCTTGGGCTGCCTTCCGAATGTCCTGCTTCAGCTGGGCATCGCCCATTCCTTCTTGTGGAATGGGAAGATAGATATCGGCCGTAATGATGGTTTCGTTTCCCCACGTGACGACATAGAACCAAATGTGAGGAGCGGGGCCAAAGTCAATGTACGACTCGACGAACATGTTGTGCCCACCCCGACCACTGTCGGGCGTTAGGATGGACGAGATGCCACACCAAAACGGGACACTGGCGTTGCCATCCGAGTAGGCCAAGACTTCCATTCGAACACGAGGATCATCCCGCAGCTGGGTTACTTGGTCTTGGATGGATTGTGCCAACTGCTCCAAGGGTTCCGTCAAGGCTTTTTGATGCGCCACGGGGATGAAAAAGGCACTGGTGTAGTTTCCAATGACGGGAAACTGAGCACTGTCACGGGCGTCGCCCCAGGGGACCAAGGGGCGAATGTCCACGCCAATGGACGACAAAATGTCCAAGCCTTCTTGATTGAGGTGGAGCCGATCAAGAATCACCGTTGTCGTCTTGACAGCCAGTGCTTGAAAGGCGGTGCTAATGCTAGCGTTCCGTTGGCGGAGCTGCTTGCGGCAAGTATCCATGCGAGACTTTGGCACTTTGACCAACACTTGCTGGAAGCCGTGTAGTTGCGACATGGCATCGGGGTGGAAAAGATCAAAGTCTTGAAATCGAAAGGACTTGGAGCTGTACTTGGGAGACTTCTGAGCCATCTCTTTCAAATCCACTCCCTCCAATTGCGGCAATTCCTGCTTGAGCATCATTTCGTCAAAGTGAGGGACATCTGAATAGCTCTTGCGGTCCACCAAGAACCAAAGAAACTGGGGAACCAATGTGTAGGCGATAAACTTGATGACAAACTGGCAATGGCAGCACCATCCATGAAATGATGCGGCACTACAATGACAAAAGCACGGTGGTTGCCTCCTCGAACCAGAGCAAATCGGAGCGACTTGCGACGCGCTTCCATGCCGCCTTTGCTCAGCCGGTCCTGTTCTTCCTGACGGACCTGGCGAGCATACGACAAGACCTTCTGGGCGGTGTCAACGTCATGGATTTGAACTCGAGGCAACGTTGGATCATCTTCTGGCATTGTTTTGAAACAGGCGTTCTCGCCTTCACCGTGGACGGTCGTTTGCAAAATGGGCGACGTTTGAAGCACGCGTTGAAAGGCATCCCCAATCTTGGCATCGTTGTTGAACCACCATGACTCAAACTGGACAATGCAGTTCAAAGGGGCAAAGGCATTGTCAAAGTACATGTGATCCATCGGAGAAAGAGGACGTGCGTCCACTGGCATGTGTTGGCGAAAGACAAAAGCGCCTGCCGCAGGTGCGGGTGTTTTCTCGTCGTCGGTGGGAGCCATCTTCTTGCTAAAAGACCAAAAGTCAAGCAGCAATCGAAGGGGAGCTAAAGTGAGCGATTGTGTGTGAGAAGGACGTGGGCCCTACCGGTACCTTACCGTTTCCGGCGGGTGAGCAAAAAATAAGTTGCGAGCAACCAGCACGCTGAGCCTGGTTGCTCACAACCTGGCGGCATGCGTGAAGCATTGCAAATTTTTAATGTTTAAGCAAGGTGCTGAGCCGGGTTGTTTACTAAAAGTGTTGCCAAAATCTGATTTTTCTTTCAGAGGATTCAAGCCGCTCTGCTGGTATAATCTAATGACGCTAACGTGCAGAGAAGAAAAGGGGTTTAGAGTAGGGAAATTATCTACGGAAGCCAGCCGGGGCCAGGCTTAAGCAAAGAACAGTCGAAATTCAGGACTAGGTTCTGAGGGATCAGGGGCAAGAAATTGAGGGTATTACGGGGGGCAAAGGGTTTGGCTTTGCGGGATCCACGGAGACATAAATGGGTAGCTTTCACAAGGGCAATTGAGATACGGGTCTGCATGAAGAACATCATTTGAGAGTAGGAAAATTGAGTTTTGGAGGCAGTAGCAGAAGACGGTTGATCTTTGATTGGGATGGGGGTCGTCAATTGAAGTCCCTGCTCCACCCACAATTCTTTCTTCTCGGTCATCTCAAAAATGGACTTCCTCTCATCTGCCTTCTTGAGCCCCCCTAACCCCTTAAAATTTGGATCGCATAAACTTCTATTGCACCCGTAGGGACCACAACAACTATGGATGGCTTCTTCAATGAACTCAAGGAGGAGCGGCCACCAGACCTGAAAGCAAAAAGAGTCTGTTGTGGCTGCAAGATAGAAGAGCCAGCTGACAAGCCATTTAAGTTGCAATGTAGCCAGTGCAAGGATGAAGGCTATGTTCCAGCTCTCTTTTGCTCCAAAAGGTGCTACAAGAAAGCCTGGCCAAAACACAAAGACTGGCATGAAACTTGGGGACAAGAAAGGAAGAATGTTCATGATAAAGAGAGGCATCTCTCTGAGGACATTGAAGCTAACCGAGAGATGTCCCACTATGATGCATTGATTCTAGCGGGACTAAGGCAGGTGGATTCTCATGACTACGCAGGTGCCAAGAAGCTGTTTCGGAAAGCACAAAAATTGGATACAAGACGGCCACAAGCATATATTTACCTTGGCAATATCTTTCGTTTGTCAGGAATGGCGCAGGAATACATCTCAAACATGCAAGAAGCAATCAAGCATTGCGCCTTGCTTGCACTGACAGGCAATTGCATTGATTCTATGAACTACATCGATGGCTACTTTGTGGATCAAGAAGAGTCGATTGTCTTGTGGTGCAAGTGTCTTCTTGATGTCTGTGAACATTATGCACATGTTGAAAGGAAGGAGCTGATGAAACCAAAATGGTTCTCCTGTGATGATCTTCTTATTAGAGTAACAAAGGTGGCATTGAAATATATCAAGGAGAAAAGAGCTACACCACCAGATGTCATGTACAATATGTCTCTTGTTCGAGCACAGGCACTCTGTGGCATTATCCATAATGGAGTTCATGACATTTCATTGTACGTTGATTGTATGCTGAGCTGTCGGACACCTCAAAACCTGCTGGAAGCATCTGCAATCTTGAGGAGTCTTTCTACCAATGGACAAGATCCTTGCATCTCTGACTTCTTTGCAACAATGTCTGAAGGCCAATCCCGTGATCCACAGTCAATACGCAAGTTCTTTCAATTGGAAGCTGCAAAGTTGGAGGCAATAGCAGGAGTTCTTCAGAACCGGAAGCAACACACTTTAAGCAATGACAATGAACTACCGGTCATCAGACCTCATACTTGGGTAATGCTGCTTGGTCTCGTCAGCCCTTCTGGCTCTGCAATGAACAGGAAGTTGGGCCTTGTCTGTGAGAATGGCTTGCAGCATGGACGGCATCTTGTGACAGTGGATGGATACGATGGAATCAAGTGCATTAAACCTAAAAACTTGGTGGAGATTCCACTTGAAGAGTACCGCGAGGCTCTGATTTCTACCTTGGGAGAAGAAATGCAATGGAGGTTTATGAGGAATTTGGTGGAGTGCGAAGCAGAACCCAAGCAAGAGGAGCCAAACCCTGGAAAAGAAGGGAGCACCACGGTCAAAATATTGAGTCTTTGGAAAGAGATTGCTGGCATTTGCCCATTGATGGCGACCCCCATCCCCTGCTGTCTCTATACATCTGCTTACAATGAGCTCGACCTCGTGCAATGACTTGACGACATTTCTGATGGTCCAGAGCGTGAGACGGAATGGGAGGGCATCGAGCTCTGCTCATTCCAACTTTTTATTAAAACGCCTTCACAGCAAGTGCCAACTCGGGGCTTATTCTTTTAGCTTACCGGCACTTGGCATACCAAGATGGCTGGTGCTGTAAAGTCACAACGAGGGGACGAGAGTACAGTCGTAGCTACGGGTACCGAACGTGGTGCTGTATTTCTACAGTCGTAACGGTAGGTTGGTACATGTAGCAGACAGCTCTGCTGCTTGAATGCATTGAAGGCACGGTTCTCGTCCGCGTTCTCTTCCGCTTCCCTTCATTTTTCTTTCCAAACACAACGAAAAGAACAAACCATGGAAGCCGCTCCTTTTCTTTCTCCTAATAATGACAATAGCAAGCAGCCGGAGCACCCAAAAGTGAAGGGCGATGATGATGACGAGCCGCCACCCATGGCAGCGTGGGCCACTCCTAGCTTGCGACAGTACAATCCAGAAATCTTTGCCGCATACGATCGCGACCGAGTGAACCATCAAATGCGAATCCACGTCATGCAGATTGAAGAAGCTAAAATGGCGTCTCTGAAATGTTGTCCGCAGCAGACACATCCAATGGAAGGACTGGGAACACCCGTGTATGCACATGCGGATGCCAACAGAGATTTGGCTTGGATATTGGTCGGGTTGATGGTCTTTTTTGCGTGGTTTGCATGGTTATTGTTGCGGCCTCTTCAAGCCATCGTGTCTCTGTTGATGGGGTCGGGTGTGGGCTATGCGTTTTGGACTGCTTTACACTCGACAAACAATGAACAGCAACGCGAAGAAGAACGTATCCCCCCTCATTTGCTAGATCTAGGTTTGATGGATGCGGAAAAGGTGCAGTACCTGGTCGACCAGATGAGTGCCTCACAAAAACGGAAACAGGCAAAGAAGCAGATCGTTCCGAATGACCAGGAGGATGCCACGGAAGAAGAAGAAGATGATGAAGACATACCTTGCTGAGATGTCAGAGTCTTGGCAGGTATTACAAACGGAAAATCCACAATCTACCAGCTTCCGCCGGCTAGCTGGGTTCCCGACAGATCTCTCGCAGCATATACATACATTGCCACATTTCTCATTGGTCGTTTGCTTTCACAAGTTGACCTATATTATACATTTCAAAAGCCGCATAATCAAAACTAAGCTATTCTGTCAAACATGCCTCCGGTATGGTATGACTTTGTCATCCGGCCAGTTTGTCAATCTGAAACATTTTCAAAACTAAAAGGGCATCAAACCCAAAAGACGTCGTCTCTAGCAGTCTGCTCTCCACTTTCCGCTGGTGGCTGGCTAGCTGTGGGTTCACCGCGCATACTAGCTAGGTAGCCGGCTACAGCTCCCTACTATCGTATCCTTTTGATAAATACAAACACCATAATCATATCCCAGAGTGAGCAAGTGAGTGACTGAGTGGCAAATGCTCCCCCCTCTTCGGATGGAAGCATCAACGCAAACGTCGCAGCAGGAGAAAAAGGTTTAGAGAGACGATTGTCGAGTCACTGCCATTCCGTCTCGACTGGTTCTCCGTTTTGCTCAGCTGCCTATAGATAGGCTGTGATGGTGGCTCCTCTTGGGATGAAGATTGGGAACAAGCTAGCCAGCTACTAGCTAGCTTAGCTAGTGGGAACAAACCATGTGCATAGAAGAGGATGGACAAGAAGATGATACTAATGTATGGCAGTATGCACAGAAGCGAAGCGGTCGAGAGAAGCCCGATCTTGTTTCTGGAGGTTCAGGAATATTTCAAACGTTGTTGTTTTATTTATTACCCTAATCCTATATCAGTGTAACTCCATTGCAGCCGCGGGAGTGACTCAGTCGAATCGACGTTGTCAACCAAAGAAAGCCACCAACCAGACCCCAACCGGAAACATTTTCTCGTACTGGTACTGTACCCCGACATCTCTGGACCGCTCGAAAGCTTGCCCCAGTTACCTCGTGGCTTCCTCATTCGTTTAGCTGGACCCTCTGAGAGTAATGACAAAGTGGCAATGCCCAGATTGGTCAAAATATATTCATTCATTCATTCGTCTTGGCTCCTTCGCGGCTGGTTCGCGAACATGCTTATTCTTCTTCCCATTTGATCATCCTGCCGAGCCGTAGCAAGCGTTTGTCGCTGCGAGGCACGATTACCTCAAGAGCCAAAGTGGACATGGATGAGTGGTGTACCGCAAATTGCCCTGGACCACGGCTAGCCGTTGGCGTAGCGGGGTCGACTGAGTCGTAGCGTTGTTGCTGCCTCTAGAGTAGAAATCAGAAATGGAGGCAGTCGGACAAGTGCCATTTTACGTGGACGAACAGGCAGCCCACAAATTGGCCAGAAGGACACGGTCGTTGATTGATCATTCGACAATCTGTCACCATTAATTTGTCATCCTAGCCAGCGATGACGAAACAGATGACTAGCATATAGCTAGCCAGAGCACCACGACCTCACAATTCGACTCGTACTAAACGTTAGCGGCATCGAACTGTTTCCCTGGGCCTGGATTCCCGAACCGGTAGCCGCATCCACCAAACTATTCTACAGTACATATTACATGCCACTATTATGTCTAGCAAATGATCAGCCCTCTCTCGTCTGTCGAATTTAACCCGCAACAAGGCCACACAACATCGGGCTAAATGAAGAAACACTCCATATTCAATCAAGGTGCCATCACTCTGATCGATTTGCGATCGTCCGAATCGACCAGGGATCTCCAGATATTGTTGCTTGCTAGCAGAGACTGACCAGCGGCCAAATTTTGAGTTTTGGTGCCTGGTCGTGCTGTACACTCTGTCTTATTCCGAATCCTCATCTTCGAAATCTTCGAATGCTTCAAAATTAGACTCTGAGTCCATACCTGCTATCCCTAAGCTAGGAGGTTCACCCAGTTTTGAGCCTTCGAAGACCTCCCCTTGCGACAGCTCTTCCTCGTCTTCTTCGTAATCTTCAAACTCCTCTTCCTCTTCTTCTCCTTCTACTTCACCTTCTTCTTCTTCGTAGTCCTCAAATTCTTCTTCGACTTCTTCCTCTTCCTCCTCGGCAACTTCTTCTTCAGCTTCTTCCTCCTCGGCAACGGATTCCTCCTCCGGTAATTCTTCCTCTTCACTTTCACTAACATCCTCATCCTCCACCACTTCAAAGTTTTCAAAGGAGCACTTAAAACCCGTGGTATCCCCTCCTGGAGAAGCTCCAAAGACTCCGATGCTTAGTGTTTCTGCATCCGAGAATTTTGCAGCCTTGAGCTCCTGCCAGTCTTCTCCATCCAGACTGTAGTTGGCTTCAATATATCCCTCCAAGCGGCTCAATTTGAGCCATACTTTGTTGGCACCACCATCGAGCATTGCGTGACTATATTTTGGATCACCACGATGAAATTGTCCCGGATATGGACTCAGCGATCGCTCAAACTGCCATTCTTCTGGATGGACATAGCAGCAAGCAAACGTCCTCAATCCACTCTCACCGCCATCCGGTGGCTCGTGATATTCCAGTGAAACTTTGGTGTAGATTCCTCTTTTTTCTTGTAGAAGGATCCCACATTGGTCTAGCCATGTGGACATTTTGGCCGTTACCTTGACGGTGGCCTCAAAGTCTCCGGCAACCTTTCGGAAGTAATAGGGGCTATTGTTGACTGAGCCATCTTCGTCTGTGTGTCTCCACACATGTGTTTGTGACGGTACTTTCAGCTTGATGACTCCATCCTTCTCTTTGCCATCTTTGCGGCTGGACAAGTGCGTCCAAAAGAACTTGACTGGTTTCTTGGCCGCCATGGTGGTGGTGCTTTTATTTCAGGGCGTTAGACAACCAATCCTCGGTACTCTAGAGGAAGAGGAGGAGATATCCTGAAGATCCCTATGCAGTTCAAAAAATTGAGCTTGCTCTGTCCAATCAAACTGGGGTAATAATCCAACAGAGAGAAGGGCAAATCTTGTGGATCTTCTTCTTGAAGGGATCTGGGGCAGCGGATTGTCGGGTTCTTCGTGCTCGAGGGCGACAACAGAGGGATGACGAGCTGTGTCCAAAGCTACCAAACCTTTCTAATGGGGTATAACTCTCTTATACTACAGGGCAGATAGGGTAACAATCTCATCAAGCACCACAAAGCTTCGTTACCACAAGGATGCTTCCTCTTTGACGATTGCTCTACTAGCTAGCTAGTATTGCTCTTTTGGCTCTTGCTGTGGGCTTCCGACTAGTGCCTCCTGTGACCTCATCCGTGACTGGTCGTAGATCGTAGGCGAGCATTCTGACATCTTTATTACAGTAGTTTAGGTAATTAATACCTATTCCTTTGATCATCTTATTATTTCGTTAGAACTTTGGTTTACCGCATCTACCTGTATTCAAACGAATTGTTGAAGGCCAAGATGTTGACTGTAGGGTGAAGGTTGTGGTACCTTCGGCCTTTCGCTGCTACGGGGCAAACCAGCAGAAATGCTTCAGAACAAGTGGACCATGTGTCAGCTCCAAAGAAACTTGAACCGCTTCTTTTGCAACGGAGCTGGCGGGTTCCTCCCGTAGGTGTAGCCAAAACAGCAGACGAGGAACAGCAAAGACTGTCCTTTTCGTCGTGATTGCCAGATCAGGGTTCCTCTAGCTAGAGAGAAAGACTATTGCCAAGGCAGGTAGCAAAGGAGATAGCCAGACACGTCCTTCATTGCTAGAATCGTACTGGTCCTTCAGGATAGGCGCTTGGTCCGTCTGTTGATAGCCAGCCAAAAAATTTCGTGGCATGGACTACAGCATGGCAATGCATACCGTCTTTGGAGCTAAGAAACGTTTGGAAACGTTCGTTCGTTTGCTGGCTAGCAAGTTTTTGGTACTATCTAGCTATATAGAAAAACTACCAGTATCGTGAATTCGATTCCACCATGAGTCGACGTGGAGCCATGATCAAGACCATCTCGCTCGCTATTAGCTACCTAGAGCTTACCGGTAAACCTTGCTTCCATGGCATATCTCCTTCGCATTGACTCTTGCATTCGTGTGATGGTTCGTTCCGTTGCAGTTTCCAAATCAGGGAGCAAGTAAAAACTGTCTAACCGACCCCCCGGGTATACACACCCGATTTGGATCTTGTTGGTGAGTCCTCTTGGCAGCAGTGGTTTGCAGAAGGAAAGCATCATGTTCATGAAGAAGCCGGTGTGAAAGTACTTGAGCTGGTGCACATTGAAGGGGTAGATAGATATGAAATCCATGCAGAGTTTCTTGGCTGTGGAATGATCCAGATTGTCCATGATGGCCATCCCATCGCACTCGAGCACATAGGATATCCCGGTTCGAATACTGAAAAAGTCAGGGTTCATTGCTGTGAACATGTAATATTGCCCTGCAATGTGTTTTCGCCAATTGCTCTCCAATTTCAAAAGGGATTGGTTGTAGTGCTTTATATCCCCCACATAAACGTACCCACCAGAGTTGTGGTGGTATGTAAAGGAGAGGAAATTTCGAGGCATCATTCGGACAAATTTCTCAAGTGTTGTGCAGGCATCGTTCTCCGTTTTTAGAATATCGTATTCCTGACAGAACCCCTGCAAGGATGCCGCTCTGTCCACAGCCGCTTCCACATTGTCTCGGTCGACCAGAGCCAAATGGCAATACTCAAAATCGGATAGGTTGTCGATGTCCGGGCAGCCTTCAATGGCGGATTTGATGGCCCGCCCCCATTGGCGTTCTTGCTCTGTGAGTTCCATGGTCCAGTCTCCGTCGGCCAGCAATTCCGGATTCATAATGCCCGGCATTGGCGGCTGTGCTGCGGCGTCCCCGTTGTTTTCTTCATGTCGCTCTTCCTGATCATCATCGTCGTCGGCGTCCGAGTCCCCGCGGTCCGAGTCCTCGCGGTCCGAGTCCTCGCGGTCGGAGTCAACGTCGTCCTCCTGATCAGGCTCAGCTACTTCTTGCACATTCAGTGGATCTCCCTCAGAGTTCATCATCTATCTATTCAATGGGGAATGGGGAATGGGAATGCCAACGCAAATAAAAGGGAGGGCAGGCAATGTGGTAGAATGGAGGCTTGCAAGTGTTGACAGAGCGTTTTACTCGAGTAGTGATTACAAACATTTTAGTCTATTAGCTAGCTAGGTTGCTGAGTCTTCTTGTTGCAGTGTTCCCACTGGTTCATTTTTTTAAATGTTGGAGTCGAGATCAAAGAAAGGGCCATTTATGTGTAATTCCCCCTTCTATTTGTGTTTTGACATTTATTTTAAATTTGTGTTTTGACTTTTGGCTTGTGTTTTGGAGTGATTCCAACAGGTAACCTGATAGATTTGAGGAAAAGGTTACTAACCTATACACTAACCTGGTAGAAATCCGCACCAAGTTAGTGTATAGGTTACTAACCTGGTAGAAAAATTGCATCAGGTTAGTGTATAGGTTAGTGTCAGGTTACTTTGCAGGTAACCTGTAGGTAACCTGATAAGTAACCTATTACTTTATATAAGGTGTTTGCCTTGTTAGCTAGTTAGATGATAGTTGATAGGGTGGTTAGGTATCAGAGATAGTCACCCCTAACGACTGAAGTTGTACGACTGTACAACTTCAGTTGTACGACTATATAATCCACCCGCCAACGCCCTCGTAGCTCTGGTACAGTTTCTACAGGCGGAAAAAAGAAACGACTGAAATCCATTAGTTGTTTGTGAGTGGACAAATTATTGGATTTTAGATGAGAATCCAATCTGAAGATTTAAGCTTACACATGGATTTTGAGTGCCATTTCACAGGTTTGTATAAGAAGCGAGTTGATTGGAAGTTTTACTCTTCTAGTAGTTACTGGGTAAAATCCACTGTTGGATTTTCAGCCGTTTTCTTGAGTAGGAATTGCCGGGTAAGATCTCAGTAGTAGTATCACAGAGAATCTACTGTTGGATTTTCAGCCGTTTCTTGACCCATAAGTAATCAAAGGACACAGAAAATAGTCGTTGAAATTGCTGAAACACGACTGATTCAATGGTAAACTGTACCCTACACCACAACCACTCAACTCGAACAACAACAATAACAACAACTCTCAATCCAGCGACGACACGACAATGGCGCTCCTGTTTCCTCGGGCATGTTGTCAGGCAGATTACACACAAAGATCTCCCGCCTCACTGGCGCCCTTGGCATCGGCTTCAACCTCGGCATCGTCTCCGGCTTTTCCAGGCCGTTGGCCTTCCTTTCGCCTCAGCCTCAGCCTTGGTTGAGCCTCTGCCTCGGGCTTGAATCCACGGTCACCCGTGCACCTTCGGCTTTGCCTCAGGTTTGCACGACTGACCTGGATTCCCAGTTTGCCGGGAGATTTTTCTACACAACTTCAATCGTAGTGCCACCCACGGGTTAGTCAACTGCAGAATGTGAGGGTGGCTAGGTCACAGAGATAGTTACCCTTGACAACTGCAGATTGAGAGGGTGGTTGGGTAACAGAGATAGTTACCCTTGACAACTGGAAGGTGTGGGTCTTCAGTTGTAGTGCCACACAAGGGTTAATCTACTGCGGAATGAGGAAAATGGCCCAAAAAACAGTGAAGAGTAACCTGATAGAAAACCTGGTAAGTAACCGGTACACTAACCTAATACAAGATTGTAGCAGGTTAGTGTACCTGTTACTAACCTGATAGAAAAAAGATATCAGGTTAGTGTAAAGGTTACTTTATCAGGTTCCGGTTACCGGTTCTTTTGGAAATAACCGGTAACCTAATATATCAGGTTAGCCAACCCTGGATCATTCCAAAGCTTTTTTTTAAAAAAAAGGCCGCTTTCATACTTTTGCGTAGTTTTTGTGGAAAGCGTGATTTCAGAAAATGGTGGAGAGTTTTACAAAAGTTTTGTCAACTGAAGGTAGGTCAGGTACTTAGGGGAAATATAGAGTTATTAGTTTTGTATTAATCTTAATTAACTTTGAAATATACAAATTGGTTTACCACATCTACCAAGTAAACCACATCCTGATGCGCGTGACTGACGTGTTTCAAGAACCGGGTAGGAATTTCAGTTCCGCTCCGTTCCCTAAAACTGCTGTCCCCGAGAAGGCTCGGCTTCTGGACACCGTTACACAAGTGGGCGGGCTATGGATAATGCTTCGTTGGTACACCTTCAGAGCCTCAGCTGCTTGGCTATTGGTACTAGCTAGCTAGTAACTAGCTAGCACCTCTAGCTAGCTAGCACCTCTAGCTAGCTATCAAACAACGCCATCCTGTTACCACGCTAGCTGTATTGCTCCTAGAAGAGACACAGCCCGTCTGGCAAAGTTGACAGTCTTGGCATCAGTTAGCTCACGACCCAGCCAGCCTGAACGACGGCACCCGAACGGAAGTGCAGCCGCCATACCCGTATGCATACGTTCTACGAAATAGTTGGTCAAAGACCCATCTTCCGGAATGCATAACTGGAATTTCCTTCTGGCCGTGGCGTTCAAGGCCTTCCATGATACAAACACAAAATGCAGTTTCAAATCTACCTGTGGATGGCCGTAGGTTCCGTAGGTTCAGCAGCTGCGGACGGCCCTGTATCGATCCGCCAATTCCCCATCATCAGAGCCGAAAAGCAGCCTCCATAGCATACCGCCTCCTGACACCCTCCTGCATCTGTTGAATGATTCGTTCCATTGCGGTTTGCAAGTCCGGGACCAAACACAAGCCATCCAACCGGCCTGACGGAAAGACACAGCCAACACGGAATTTGGATTTCACAGACTTGGGCAGGAATGCTTTGGTGGAGGAAAGCAAAATGTTGAAGAAGATACTGCAGTGATAGTACTTGAGCTGTTGCACCACAACAGGGTAGAATGAGTATATATCCGTGCAGAGCCGGCGGGCCGTTGTGTAATCCATATTGGACAAACTGAATCCATCACATTCCAGAATCCAGGATATCCCGGTACGAATACTGAGGAAGTCAGGACTCATTGCATGGAAGAGGTAATAGTTTCCAGTCATGTTTGTCCTCCAACCGTTTGGAGTTTTCAGAATGTGCTGGTCAAAAAACTTCATATCTCCAATGTACACGTACCCACCAGAAGCAGGGTTGAGAGAGAATCCCAGAAAATGAAGGGGCATCAAATGTACAAACTTCCGCAAAGCAGAGACACCCTCGTCCACAGTATTTCGAACATCATATTCTTGTCGAAACCCCTGCATTGATGTGGCTCTGTCCATGGCAGCGTCAACGTTGCCTTGATCCACAATGGCTAGTTGGCAATACTCAAAGTCAGATAAATTGTCAAGCTCTGCGCACCCTTCAATAGCTGCTTTGACTGCATGGGCCCATCCACGTTCTTGATCTGTGAGGGCCATGGTTACGTCTCCAGCAGCAGCCAGCGAAGCTACCAAGTCGGCATGGTCGTCTGCAGCAGCTTGGGCAACATCCTCAATTTCGTCTTCATGCTCGCCATCGGACTGGGTGTCCTCCTCAAGGATGTCGTCTACAAGGACACGTCTTTCAATGCCTCCTAATTGCTCGAAATGTTCCTGAACATTCATGCTGATAGTGGGCACAGCATGAAGACGGTTGTGTTGAGCTCGAAATAATGGGAAAGTGATGCGAGGGGATTTGGAAGCGTCGCTGTCTTCTCTAACAGACTCGACAGTGGACAGTAATGCGGGTGCGAAAGCAGAAAGTGACTAAACCCAAATGTCATAAATAAATGTATTATTGTCGACGATCTCATTGAACTTTATTAGCGCTCAGGGTTCCGAATTAAAAGACGGCAGAGAGGAATAAATGTCGTGCCGAGGCATTGTCATCCTCCCCGCTTGTGGTTTCAGAGGAAAGTCCCGAAACCCCGAAAGCTATCCTTTTGGGTGTAAGTTTTGGTTGTCAGGGTGTCTGGAACTCACTGACTGAGCCTTGGGCATTTATTGCTTGGCGAAGGACATGATACTGGTACGAAACTTTAGCCAAGCTCAAACTCCACAGAACAACAGTTCGTGAACTCGTGGCAACTGTATAGCTGCCGCCAAACTTCCTCGCTTCTAGCCATCGCCATCTACCCAATGATCTCACGACTTCGGTACTACCGTACTGTAGCTTATGATCCCGCGCAGTCTGGACGCACGCACTGCAGAAACAAAGGAATTTCTTGCAAAACACACGCCGGTGAAAAAGGAACCAGCCCTGATGCCCTGATCCCTGAAGCAACCAATGTTCCACAAACAAGCCTCATTACCGTATTTGATTGGCTACGGCTAGAGTCTTTTGGTCGTCCATCCAATGTCTCCACTTTCCAGAAGTAGTTGCGACTGCCTTCGCAAAGTCTGTAAAAGGTGACTTTCTTTGCTTTCGAGCACGAACTTTGGTGGTTTTGGGTACCGGTGTACCGGTACGGTAGCTGTTTTGTTGCTTTGGTCGAACATAACGTGGCAGTCCTGCGTGATCGTGCTCCTTCTCCTTCCGTACAGTCCGTACTTATTGTCCCTTCTTGAAAGCATCTTTGCAGTCAGGCAAGGAGCCCTGAAAACTTTATTAATTTAAGAGCTTTTACGGTACTAGTACTATGGCAACCAGACGGGTAATGACGTTAAATCATAGTTTGATAGAAGCCTGTTTTCGGCACCGAAAAACGATAACACATCACTGAATCTCAAACAACCCTACTAGACGCCGCGGCCGAAAACCTCCGAATGTAGAAACTGACATAACAACACAAAGACTGTTCCGCCTCAAGGTGACCTATGAACGCAGAGGCTACGTAGAGCTGACATAACCTTGCAGAAAATTAATGAAAGGGTTTAAGGCCCTTGCTATTCATGCTCAAGCTCTCGTAGCTTGTAACCACTGTCCGTAACAGCAAGAATCGAGTACTAGTACTAGTACTCGTAAAACAACTTTTTTAGTCTGGCTCTCCAGTACAGTACTATTACGGTGGCTCTCCTCTCTCCTGTACAGCGTGTTAAAATTTGCTGCAAAATGCAAAGCTGCTCACCTCACAATTTTTCTTCCAACCGAAGCTACAGAAATCAAACAAGAAAGATCCACAATGACTGACACTGACAATTCCAGCAACTGGCAGAAGTGGGCGGCATCTAAGGGTGGGCTCCTGGAAGAACCCCAAGATCTATTGGTTTCTGGCCCCATCGATGAGGAGACCATGAAGCACATGCAGCTGCCTCGACTGGAGGACGGTGAAGATGGTGGAGATATCCGTTCCCAACTTAAGGCTTTATTCTCTGCCAACCAATCCCACGAGGAGCACAACAAGTCAGAGGACTCAGTTGTACCGCCACCGCCTCTCCTCCTTCGACGAGGAAGAACAGCGTCTCCACCAGCACTTGATAGATCAGATTCAATGGCGCCATTTCTGCTAAAAAGGTCACGAGCAGCTCTTGAAGGACTTGACCGTCTCTAAACGTTTACCGAAAATGATGGGATTGTCTTTCATATGGACAGTAATGATGATTAGTAGACTGCATTGATTTATATTTTCAAATATCTACTAGTACTTTACAGTGCATGGCTACCCACAGTGTAGCTAGCAATGCACTTGCACATTGTCTTCCAGTCCTGTCCAAAGAAGGTTTGAAAAGTGAAGAAACTGCTTCTGATCATTTACCTGCTTTGATGGAGGAGTTGACCTCCTATCCCTCGCAAATGGCCCCTCGATCTTTCCTTCAGTAAACAAGCCATTAAGGTTTTGGCGTCGTTGACGCACTCCGCGGTTGAAGGAGGCTTGCTGTCGTTGGGTTTGCAGCGTGAATGGCAATGCCCAAGCCTGATCGTCGGTGTAGCAACTGGATGTCACCCCGTAAGTCTGCAAGCATGATCCGAGGAAGGGTGCGGTCGTGTCACCGAAAAGGCAAAGGTGGAAGCATGAAATTGATGAACATCGTCTTCCAGCATGAGCCCTGTCCAACAAAGTATTGCAAACTGAAACTTCTTCTGATCTTGTACTTTAGTCTAGCTGGCTGTTATGGAGGAGGAGATCTATCCGTTGCAAATGGCTCCTCCGAGCTTTCCTTCAGGAAACAATGTTCAGGTTTCGGACGATGTTGTTGATGTGCTCCACTGTTGAAAGAGGCTTGCTGTCGTTGGGCTTGCTGTGCAACCAGCACCACCCAAGCCCGATCATCTGGATTGCAACTGGCTGTCACCCCGTAACTCCGCAAGCGACGGAGGCAGGGTGGGGTGTCACCGAAAAGATGACGGTGGAAGCATGAAGTTGACGAACAATATGACGGCGAGCGCAACATCAATGGGCAGGTGTTCTGCATGTACTCTTCTGTCTTCGATTGGAAGGAGCAAAGACAGCAATCAGACCAGGTTGTCTTGATGGACGATTCATGGTCACTTTCTCACCTGGTGCTCCGAAAAGGACAACAGAGAGGCGAAAGCCAAAAGTCCCTGGTTTTCGCACGTGGACAAGCAGCCGAAGAGAAGATGGCTGCGGAAATGGCAGCAGAAACATGAGTGGCTTGCAGAGGAGAGCATTCATTGATGTGCACAACATCGCCTCAACAGCCAAGTGGATTTCACAGCTACCTAGCTATAAGGTTAGAAACATTGTCTATTTCAGGTCTGAACAAGGGACACGGTTCACCAAGGTACCGACCGGGACCTCACTAGCAAGTGGATTCGCTACATACTCTAGGATCACTTTTTCAGAACTCGAAACGCAGCTAGCAGTTGATCACTTGGCAAGAATAAAAACGGAGGGCCTCACAGTACTCCGCATTGCTGAATTCTTCATAGAACTGAAACCCGGAATAGTCATCGTCAGGCTCAATGGCTTTGTCGACGTCCGCGGTGTCTTGGCTATCAATGCTTTCGGAGGCGTTCATGGTGCTGTTGCCTGTTGAGTTGTGCCCGGGGCTATAGAAGAGAAGTTCGCTTGTGTTTGCTTGGCTACCGTCGCTGGCAGAGTGCAAAGCCTCCAACGACCTGCCCTCAACTTCATGGATGTTCTCATCACACATTTCAGAGACCAACTTATGGTAGTAATAGTCTTCCACGATCTCCGCCATTTGCTCGGGGCCAAAGGCTGCCTTGATGTCTGCTGCTGTTGTATTGCCCGACCGCGATTGCTCCAGAGCGGTAATTATTCCCTCCCTGCCCCCGTAGTCTTCCAGACACCACGAACATCGTAGACGGTCCAAGCGCATGCGAATAAACCTTCCAGGAGCACCTGGTCCGCTCCAATAGCTAGTCTGTTCTTGCCAGACATGAACCATTTCGTGGACCAACAACCTTACGGAGGGGCAACGGCTGTACTCGGGCAAATACACAGTGCTGTCTGCCTGATAGGCCGGAGCATCCGTAAAAGGGTTGTTCACATACACCAGCAATACATCCGCAACCGAGATACTGCCATTGAAGAACTTGACGGCCTCGTCCCACCGTTCTTGAATTTCGCAGCCAGCCGGAACGTATTCACTCTTTGGACTCAGTGCTAGTTGGTTAGGGTCGAGCTTAATGATCGAGTTCCGGGGCATTTGATACCAAAGCGTTATTTCAGTGAAAACCAGCATCATCACTACCAACGGAGTAAGTACAAGTAGAGCGAACCACTTGGTTTTGTTGGACAGATAGGGGATCAGGCGTTTTGTGGGCTTCTCTCGTCCTGATGCGTCGGTGGACGTGGCTGTGGGTGTTGCTTCACTGTTTTCACCTGAGCCGGTCAGATCGATAGACTCCAGATGATCGTCTTCTCTCATTGTGTTTAGCGGCAGGTTCTTTTCCTCGTCGTCGCTGCTCGCATCATCCCTGGCCTTGTCAGTTCCGTCTTGCTTGTCGACCTCGAAGCGGCGCGTCCATCTCGCGATAGCAAGGATCCAAACGAAAATCAAAATCATCAAAATAGACAGGATGGCAACACCATGACACCACGCCGTCCCACGACGACCTGTGTATTTGGCTCGAAAGAATATCCCGATAAAGAGCAACAGTTCGGCAAGGAGCGCAAGTGCGGCACCAACAATAACGGGCGACCCCTTGAACAGCAGTTCTGGAATGCATCCCACGAAAGCAACAATTAGCGTCCATAGAGCTGAGAAGGACCTCTTCAAGAAGTCCAAGAGTAAAGCCCGCACGTTCGTTCCTCGAGCCCCGTCATTGGTACCCGCAACCTCTTCAGGAGCTCCTGTCATACTCTTGGCACCGCGATCACCGGGCAAAAACTGGCTCGTGTACAACGAGCCCACATCACTGCTGTCGGATGCCCTTGAGTTCATTTCTTTACCTCGTTGCTTGGCTTATGGCAGCACGACAACTTGGAGATGGAAGGTTTGTGCAGGAGATTTTTCGCGTCTGGGCCGTGCCAATTTTGTCCTCCTTCTCAAGACTCCAAGGTTAAGGTTACAAGTGCATATCCTTCATTCGCTGCCAATCTTTGAAAGGAGACAGGAAAACACAAATGTGTGGGCATGCTATTGATGTATCATCTCTTGCTAGCTAGAGGGCGAGCTAGAGGTTGATCTTGGAGCTGCGTACACGCAGCTGGCAGGTTGTCAGGCTACAAAACAGCCCACTGCTTTCACAATCTTCGGAGCCAGCAGAGCCAGTAATGAAAAGATCGTATCCACGTCCCAAAAGATCGAGAAGTGATTTACACCCAGCTTGTGGAGCCATCTCCGCATCCCGCAACGGTACTCAGGTGAGCTTTCGGGCGCGCGATGACATGAACCATTAAAGACCAGATCTTTTTTTTTTAGGTTTTGGGGGGGATTAGAGTAGGGAAATTATCTACGGAAGCCAGCCGGGGCCAGGCTTAAGCAAAGAACAGTCGAAATGCAGGACTAGGTTCTGTGGGATCAGGGGCAAGAAATTGAGGACCAGTACGGGGGCCAAATGGTTTGGCTTTGCGAGATCCACGGAGACATAAATGGGTAGCTTTCACAAGGGCAATTGAGATACGGGTCTGCATGAAAAACATCATTTGAGAGTAGGAAAACTGAGTTTTGGAGGCAGTAGCAGAAGCAAGCCGTTGTAAGAGAATCTTGGCTTGGGGGGCAAGCATGCCATCCACAGAAACAACAAAGGGATGAAAGGAAGCGCGATTGGAGTCGCACGCTTCTTTATATTTGGAAATTTTGTCGCGTTCTTGTTGGGTTAACACTTTGACGGGATTTTTGTTTCGGTAAGAGGCACAGTCCAAATCAGTGACACGTACGTCAATAATAGCTGTAGTACCACGTTCGAACAAGCCGCGAATGGAAAGATCTCCGCGTAAGAGCTCGGGGGCTGGAGGGGGATTGAGAGGGGGGGGAGGAAGGGGAGGTAAAGTGGAAATTGGGTGACCGGCAGGGATAGTAGGGGCGGGAACAGATGGAAGGGGAGGTTCCGACTGGACGCTAAAAGCATTTACGAAGCTACGAAGGTCAAGAAACAGATTCTGATTCGTCATAACAGAGACCTACTAGATCTACTGTACGTACAGATAAGAGGTATGCACCGAACCGAACGCGTTCTCTTGTGAAGGTTCGGATGAAAGCTTTGGCTTTGATTCTACCGTACCGGTATGGAGCCTTAGCAATGGCATCTTTCGACCAAGGTATTACAACTTGAATGACATTTCTCTGGAGAGTGTTAGCAATAGCTAAATGTGTGACGAAAGTTGATAGGGATGCAAGCTACCGGTAGACTCTGGCTAGCTAGGATGCAAGTTGTGAAGATCCAAGCAAGATCCAAGATCCAAGAGCAGTGAGAATTCTATTCGCGCTTTCAAGTGACCTGGGCACCCTCAATGCTCGAGGATCTTTCGGAAGAAGAAACAAAGTAATGCATGCAACGCTCATCCCCATCCATTGAGGATGACGGGTAATGGTTGGCAAGCCGCTGCAAAGAGCGTATTCCTCAAGTCGGGGACCATTGGAAGCGTCGGCATGCTAGGAACGTACTGGGGTACGAAGGAAAACCTTCGAATGCATGCAGATTATCCCTTTGTCTTCTTGCTCACGTCTGCGACGTACGGCATCAACTACATGGCGATGAGGCAGGATCGATCCATGGCCAAGGATACGACGCAACCAAAATTCTTTCGGTACATGCACACCGTGATGGCCTTTCCTCGTCAAGTTGTGACACATCCCAGTGTGGCCATCCCCATCGCGTTTGGCGTTGGCTTTTTGTTTGGAAAACTCACCACCACTACCAAGAGACAACCTTGGTTTTATTCCGACAAGGCGAAGAAAGGAGAAATTGCCACTAAGGAATGAATGGGTCTTGACTCGGATATTTGAACCATCGATCATTCCCTATTCTCTATGCCCTACAATGACTATTTGTGGACCTCTGATTGGCGGCCGGGCATGTATGGATATCGTACTACGCTGGGTCAAGTAGTTCGACTAGCTATACAGGCCGGGCAGTTGAGCAGAACAGTACTACCGGTATTATCAGTTTCCATTCCTTGTCGATTTTTAGAGCTTAGATGAGTCGAGTCTATGTTGCACGGTTTCTAGGCTACCCCCGAAGGCCATAAAATGGACTTGTTTTTGGAACCGATTCCTTTTTGCCAAATGTTGCACTGCTGTCAGCCCTGCTAATCATACTTAACTATTTTCATTAGTACATTGACGTGGCGCCACATGATGATACCAATGGGTCGCAATCCACTTGTCGGATGTTGCTGGTAATCCAGCATGAATGGCATTCCATTCAATGGTGGCATCTTGAAAGTAATTGTAGAAGGCAATGGCATCTCCCGGTTGCACTTGGCTGGCCACGACTCCACTATGACTAGTATTGCTGGTAGCTGAATAATTGGCAAAGTCAATCGCCCCTTGTCGCTTCACAAACCGTCCCTCCGGCGCATCCGCACAGGGGAACCAGGTGTCACTGACGCCATTCAGATAATAGAGCACCGTCAAGATGCGGAGTGTGGCATCGTGATGTAGATTGTAGCGACCATCCGGGTCATAATGAACGACTTGCAAATCTTCAACTGATTCCCTGGGATGAAAGCAGGGTTCATGGGGCAAAAAGGTAGCATGGACTTGTCGTGCTAGGTCTTTCAATCCCTGCATGGTGTAATTGGGAATCCATGTCATTTGCGAACCAACTCTGTAGTCTGTGAAGTTGGTGCCACCCTTATTGCGGGTCTTGGCGACTTGGAGGGGTTCTCCATTGTTGTGAAGGGCACAATCCATCAAGACTTCGCATTCTTGGGGAGTCAAGATACCTTTGAGCAGAAACAGTGGTGGTCGTTGAGAAAGTTTTTGAATTTCCACCGTTCGATTGTTGGGGCCCGCATTCTCAAGGGTAAAGGAGAATTCCTTGTGCAAACTGGTGCCTTTGGGCATGAGATCCAATTCTTCACTGATGCCCATGTAGAGAAGATCAGGATCATAAGGGATGGTTCTTGGAGGAGGTGATTCTGAGGAGTCCGTGCTCTTGGGGGAGGACGAAAGAAACACCTGAGTGCAACTTTCCTTTCTGCATGTAATAGGAGAGTCCAGTTGAGGGAGCCGCCAATGACGACGGTGGAAGCAACCTGGAGCATTTCTCACAAACCAAGCATTGCCAACACCACTACAACAGAGCAAGGCACAGAAGATTGACCACAAGCCAAGCATCCTCAAACAATTTCCCCACAAGAAGGGTATTAAAAATAATAGAAGAAGAGAGATCTCCTCGGCGGACTGTCACTCGAACAAACAACAAAAACATATCGACGTCACAGATTTGGCGTAAGCTCAATAACGATAGCCTGGCCCTCAGCCGGTTTCTGTGGATAGATCTCTAGCTAGTCTCCCGGGCCCGACGTGTCTGTCCTACCGTACCGCTACTAGTATAGGGAAAGGATTATCGTTGCCACTGTTGGCAACTCCCAGGTGGTGGTTTCCCTTTTGCTTTTTAATGAAAATGCTCTATCATGGCACCGTTCCTTATCATTATCGACCTTGTATTGACAAACAATCTAACTCGTAATCTAACTCGTCTTATATTCGTTACATTGACTGGGTCGAACATGATGATACCAATGGGTGGCAATCCACTTGTCCGACGTTGCAGGCAATCCAGCATGAATGGCATTCCATTCAAAGGCGGCATCTTGAAAGTAATTGTAAAAGGCAATGGCATCTCCTGGTTGCACTTGGCTGGCCAGGACTCCCCCACGGAGAATATTGCTGGGGTGGGCCGATGAATTGGCAAAGTCAATCGCTCCTTGTCTTGACGCAAAGCGTCCCACAGGCGCATCCGCACAGGGGAACCAGGTGTCACTGACACCATTGAGATAATAGAGCACCGTCAAGATACGTAGTGCTCCATCATGATGTAGATTGTAGCAACCGTCTGGATCGTAATGAACGACTTGCAAATCTTCAACGGATTGGGAGGGATGAAAACAAGGTTCATGGGGCAAAAAGGTGGCATGGATTTGTTGTGCCAAGTCTTGCAATCCCTGCATGGTGTTATTGGGAATCCATGTCATTTGCGACCCAACTCTGTATTCCTGAGAATCGGTGCCACCCTGCCGAGTCTCGGCAACTTGTAGGGGTTGACTATTGGCGAAATCCATGAAGACTTGGCATTCTTGGGGAGTCAAGACACCCTTGAGCAAAAAGAGTGGTGGTCGTTGAGAAAGTTTTAGAATTTCCACCGTTCGGTTGTCGGGGCAAGCATTGTCAATTGTAAAGGAGAATGCCTTTTGCAAACTAGTGCCTTTGGGTAGTAGATCCAATTCTTCACTGATGCCCATGTAGAGCAGATCAGGATCATAAGGGATGGTTCTTGGAGGAGGTGATTCTGAGGAGTCCGCTCCAGATACTGAGACAGTAGTGCTCTTGGGGGAGGAAAGAAACACCAGAGAGCTACGCCCAGTTCTACATGGAATGTGAGAGCCCAGTGATGCCTGTTCAGAGAGCTGCCAATGACGACCAAGGAAGGGACCTGGTGAATTTCCCAGGAACCAGGCATTGCCAACACCACTGCAACAGAGGGAGGCACAGAAGATGGAAAACAACCCAATCATCTCATACAAGTCTCCAGTCTCCAAAAGAATGGGTATTGTAGAAGAAGAAGATAGAATTCCATGGCACGGGGCAACAGGAACTGGAACACGAACAACGGCAAAGATGTTGACGTCACAGGATAGGATTTGACCTCTACAAGTTGAATAACAATAATAATGCAGAACAATGCGACGAATGGAACTTTTTCGGAAAGCGCCAATCCAACCACGCATACATGTACCACAGAAGTAATAGTTGAAGGGCTGCAGAGGGTAGAAGGATGAGGGTTAAGCTAGTCTGGATTCATCAATCTATTTGCACATGTTTTGAGTGCCAATGTTCCCACATAAGTGATAGCTAGCGCAAGCTAGCACTACCTCGTACGGTCGCAGAGACCATGGTCTTTCGCTGGTCCAACTTCAGGCTACAATCCTGGACCAACGCTAGCGGTAGGCACGACATAGCCGGTCCACTCCCAAAATTGCCAACATCAGAGCATATCACCATCCCGTAAAACTCGTACTAAAATATTAGCAAGATCTAGCAAGATCTAGTCAGCGCTTTGAATTTTCTCCGAACCTTTTCATTTGCTGCAGGGGGATGGAGAAATCCAGTGCCATTCATGGGCCATCGCTGCCGCTCCATTAGAAGACAGTGGTAAACAGCGCAATGATGGGCAGTGGATTTCTCCATCCCCCAGACCCCGATGTTTGTGTATGTTTCACCCCCAACCGTCCTCCCATTGACCTTCTCGGCACATCTCCAATGTAAGGTCAGGCCGTCAAAATCATAGGCAATCCACTCCAGCTGGCAGAAATATTCCAACTGAGGATCACGACGATGAGATCTTGAAGATAGTCGCAGATAGGGCAAGTGTGGCAGTGGCAGAGCAAATGGAAGAAGATGACCTCATGCGCAAAGGAAAGGGCCTCAAGCTACAAAGGGGGGCGGAAAGCAAGGATACCAGAGAGGGTGTGACCTCAGAATACCTTGAAATTGCAGTACCAGTGCCAGGATATGAGATTCCCACAGAAACCATTGAGCCAATTACACCACATCAAATTACACAGCAGAGTTCAAATCCAAATCGGCCAGGAGCCTACATGGGTGCACCGGGACTAGACCTACGCCGTACCACTGCCTTGGATTATGGTCTTCTTGTTGGTGCTGGCTCTGGCACTGATAGTGATCCAGAAGATGCCAGTGGTCAACCCGAACTTAACGATTCATTGCCCAACAACATCAATAACGACGAAACCACCACCAGCCAACAATTGGCAGTGGCAAATCTGGTGGAAGAAGATCTAGAGGAGGAGCAAATACGGCAATCTGCAGATCCTGTTGATCTACAGGAGCTTCAACAAACAGCACAGAAGAAAAGGAGACAGAAACAGCTCCTTATTTTGTTTATTGTTGTGCTTTTGATTGTAGCCGGCAGTATTGTTGGCACCTTGGTTGGAAACCAGAAGCAAAATGTGCCCGATGTTTTCACATCACAGACGACAGAGACACCAACTGTCTTTGGTTCCATGGAACCCTCTGAAGTGCCAACCTCTGCTCCCACTAGAGCTCTGGACATGCTGTTGGATAGCCTACCAGACTACACTTTGGCAAGCATAAACAATGGTAGTGAATCCCCTCAATGGAAAGCATGGTGGTGGCTGGCCAATCATCAAAATATTACATTTCTTTCAGAATGGAGAAAGCAGCAGCTGTTTGCTCTGGCTACCTTTTTCTATTCCTTCGAGGGAGAAAATTGGTACAGACCTATTCGAGATAGGTGGATGGACGACACAGTGGAAGAGTGTTACTGGTTCACTCGTGGATTTGGATTCTTTAATGAAGATGAACAGTACTTGGAGTGGGAAAGTTTGGGTTTCGCATCCACTGATCCTTGCAACAACCATGGAAAATTCACGAGTCTTTCTCTTGAGAGTCTTCAGCTTTCTGATCTTTCACCAGCAATTCCACCAGAGATTACCCTCATGACTTCATTAGCCAGGATTTCATTGGGATCCAACGACATTACCACATCACTTTTATCTCCACCCTTGTTTGAAACGCAACGGTACCGCCATAGCAGTGTGGTGCACATATACTGGTACGCGGAACCGAAGCTGTACTCACGCATTTTTGGAATGAAACCCAGGCAGGATCTTTACCACGAGAATATCTCTTTGGCTGGTCGTCGCTAAGCTAAAATCGAACACAGTGCACACAGTTTTCTACACGTGCATACTTGAGCTAGCTAGTCAGTACTAGTTTTCTACACGAATGCCTTTAGGTTGCACAATACACCTACCAGCCGTTGTTCTTTTGGCGGACATCGAAGAAGGCTTTCGACCGAGTGGCTGGTTGTGGTACGTATTGCTGCGGAGGGTTTCCCAGCGGGAAATTTTCTAAATGGCTGCGGAGATACCGGGCAATAGCCCTCCGTGGGTCAAGCCCTTGACTTACTTGTTTGCAAAGAGACTAGATCACCGAAATCCCTTGTCTCAACTGCGCTCAAGCGCAACTGCATGACACCGTGCCCGTATACGGCCGATCATGGCACCATGTTTTGTCTTCGTGTACCATTCTCCTTTGGTTTCTGCTTTGGCTGAGAGAAAAGCAACGCTGGATCCTTTGGTTTCTGCTTTGGCTGAGAGAAAAGCAATGCTGGACCCTCTGGTTTCTGCTTTGGCCGAGAGAAAAGCAATGCTGGTCCGAGGTGCTGTGCGGCTTCGTCAACAATTATCCTGTGGTGACTAGCTATCGACCGTGGAAGTAAAGCACACGAGGCGCAGAGCGTGGAAAACGCTCCATGGGCTAACGTGGCGTTGAGCTTCCGGCTTTGCCAACACAAGGCTCTTAAAAATTGTGCTTTGCGTTCTCCGGTCAGCATGGGGGCAAGAATCACGGAGCACACGTCCCATGCTTGCGTCGTTCTTCCTGAAACTCAGCATGGGATCCACCCGAGGTACCTACGTCCATGTGAACTACGCCAGCGCCAACGCCAGCCTGCACGTGCAACTATCGCGTCTATGGCAGCAACCTGGCTATGCAATGAGCCAAATCTAATCTTTGCTCTAAAGGATCTTAGCGGATTTAGTAGAAGACCAAAGGCGAACTCCTTCCTGTCGTTTTCCAACACCATGCTGACCCCCTTGCTTGAACTACAAGGGGGTTTATTGAAGCAAACTGTCCCTTGGTTGCTGTTGTCCAAAATCGTGGTGTTGGTCATGCCCATTGTTTCCCTTCATCTGATCGTCATTGGCGCCATTCATGTATGTGTGTTGGCGCCCTCATTTCCAAAAATGTCAATGGTGGTATGTTGATCTGCAACCCCATCTTCTGGATCATGATGTCCCGTCTTGCTTTGTTGGCTTTGTGTGCAGCATAGCCACCAAATGAAGAGATACAAGAACCATAAACATGATTGACACAACATCACGATCAGCACAGGCGTTGCATCCACTTGGTCCACACCTCGTGCAAAGAAGGTGCCGAATCCAACCATCCCGGTGGCCAGATAGCTGACAATATAGAAGATGGTGGTTCCACAGGATTTGCAAAAACAACCCACCAAGTTGTTACCATCCAAATTGTAGTAGATCGCAATATAGGTAAAGATCATGGTGGCCAACAGGATGAGAGTGGCGGCGAGAGCAAGATTGTCATTGACATCCCTGAGCTGATCCAATTCACACACGCCAACTTTGGCCTCATCATCAGCCACAACAGCATCTGAGAAGATTTGGTTGCACAGTCGTTTGGAGAAGAGCAACTCTCGTTCACTCGCATACTGGTCCTTCCTGTAGGTGTCAATGTGGATGCATTTGTCATTGTCGTCGTCTTCTTCTCCATCTGCAAACTCAAATCGTAACACACTGAATTGATTTGATCTTTGGAATTCATAGCCGTAGCACCCGTCTGTAAAGGGACCCCCCTTGACTCCGCCCACACGATCCATGGAGGAAGTTTGCAAAATGGGAAAGGAACGGCGAGATGTTGTTGTTTCGTTGTTGCCATAGTATGTATTGGTCCCATCATCAAAGGCCACCATGTGGGCATCACCCGAAATGGCCAACAAGTTTTGTGGCCCCTCTCCCAGTGTTTCAGTGATGAATGCCGATAAGTCGGCCCGTTCCTCGGGATACCCATACCACTTATCCTCTCCTGCCTCTTGAGGTCCAATCCATGGTTTGGCAGTGACCCAAATGACAAAGTCAAAGAGATGTGCTTGGCGGAGTTCTTGACGCAGCCACTCGGCTTGTGCCGTACTGTACATGGCTTCCTTGGTGGATTCGCTCCGGAGATCCGAAATGATGAATCGGACCGTGCCAATGGTGTAGGCGTGATAGACTGGCGCTGGTAACAGCGCGTCGGTGTTTGGCACAACAGGTGCAGTTGTTGTGGAGTTATTGTCAATGGTCGACAATGCCGGCAATGGATAATGTGGAAACGCCATTTGATACGACAACAGTGCCGTGTCTCGTGCTCCCTCGTACTCTTCGACTCCATTCGCATTGTTGCCCAACCAATCGTGATCATCCCACGTGTAGGAAATGGCTGTACTTCGGTACAGATCCGCCTGGGTGTCGGATGCCATGACTTGACTGATGGCATCAATTCGTTTGGTCATGTCATTGGTGTCAATATCGGCATAATGAAAGTCCCCCACATGCAAAAAGAGCAAGGGGTCGACTTTTTGAATTTCTCGAAATACCGATGCCCGTGATCCCGTCATGGCACACGAGGATGCGGCAATGGTAAAGTTGAATCTGGTGCCTTCTGTTGCGGGTGTCGTAAATGTTCCCTGGAGTCGTTCTGTATATTCCGAGTCCATGCCTTGAATCCTGTAATAGTACTTGGTCTGTGGTTGCAAGTTAGACACTTGCAGTGTTTGTAGACCGTACTGTTGTTCCAGTTCACTGGCGGCTGTATCCCCCAAGTGATACTCTTGTGGCAGTGAAAAGTCTTGGTTGGGGCTCAGATACAGGAGGACATTATTGTTGCCTTGATGGGCATCTTCTAGTGGTAGTTTGATTTTCAAGACGGCACTGGTGGACGTGACTCCTCCCACCATGATCCATGCCACAGCCGGAGTCCAGGCATATCCCACGTTGACCAAACGCCAGGAGATTCCAAAGCTGGCAAAGAATCCAGTCAAGGCAATCGCCAGGATACCCAGCAGTAACGTGCAATAGGAACTGTTGGATGGCATTGCAATGATGTGAATGCTGATGCTGGTAGAGAATTGTGAATATATGTGGAGTTGGTAGGGATAGAGAGAGAGAGAGAAGTTTCTCTTTTGGCTAACACTTTGTGTATGAGAATTCGAGATGATTGACTTTTTGTGGTTGTGCTCGATTATATTTAAATTTTGTGACCGGTTCCGATCCGGAAGCAGTCAATGAACAAACCCAGATTCGATTCTGAGTTAAAAATTGGCTTGTTGTAAGTTCCTGGCAGCGCCTGTAATGTACCGCTACCGGTACACCGTTAGCTATGCCTTGAATAATGCTCTTTCCCAGCAACACAGACTTCTCCATTCGCCATTCTGATCAGCTTGCTTGTTTGTAAGCTCTCTTGCAACTGTCACTATATATGTGCGCTATTGATCGTGTTGTGGCATCACGCAGCGCTTGCATCGCATTTGCAATGGACGACTCGACTCGTCACTCGAGATCATCGTCACTCGTGGGCTTTCGGAAACGCGGGTGTTCCCCTTGCATGCCTGAGGAGAGGCGAATGAAGTTTGATTTGGAATTCAGGAGATGGGAAATTAAAAGAAACAATAAATATATCTTGTACCTAGCCTACCTTTCCAATGCTGGCTTCCAGTCAGTTGCTCCCCTTGCAGCTGTGAAGGATGTGGCATGTGGCACCGACAAGGAGGCTGGGCCACATGAATGGGTGCATTGGATTACAGCCGAGACAGATCACGCCCCCCCCCCTTCTACAGATGTTGTACTCAACAAAGCAATAGTAAAGAAGCTTCCTGTTGCCCAGTTCTAGAGAAGAATTGTAGCCCTTCTTATTACTGGTAGAAGAGATAGATACATGTAGTATGAACTCTTGTGGCCTTTTCCTACATGCAACCAAGAAAGGGCTGTGAACAACGAATTAGGTCGTCAAAATGGTAACTAAAAAAAAATACCGGGAACTTGAACACGCAAGGAAACGCTGGAGACTAGACTAGGCTAGCTAGCTAGAGAGTTCCGCTTGGCCTTGTACGATGATAATCAATCCCTCTATGGTTGGCTGCATCCGATGGAGATTTCCAACCGCTCGCAAGAGGTTGTCGAGCGGCTTCTTCTTGTGAGTGAGGGGTGGTCCCAGCCAGCGCTGCCCCCCAGTTGCATATGCATAGACCACACTGTAGCTACAGGTAGCTAGTTCGCGGAAAGAAATCCCTGAAAAGAGAAATTGGTCACGATTAGATCGGGTTTGATTTCGTGAGTTCGGAAGTCTACTTCGTGAACAATAAAACAAGCTTTTTCGGTCAATCGACGATCGTGCGTCGCTTGACTCCCCTAGGTACTATGCATACAGCTACCGATACTGTAGCTAGCTAGCGGCTACTCGTCCTTTCCTCGCAGGCATGGCACTCCGTTTAGTGAACAAGAAACGCAGAAACGGATCCACTTGAACTAGCTAAACTAAGCTGCAGCTTACCAGTATTCGGAGTCGAGCCAGCACAGAGGTTTATCCTTCACATGTTGGTCTTGCAATTGGTGGGGAGAGCACTCTACCTCGTAGGTAGGTACAGTCGCAAGCGTTTTCCTGGACCGTGCACTCGATCCTTGACACTTGCGTCCAAATTGATTTGTTCGAATTCGTGGTCCCGAGCAGTGGCGTTGAGTGGCTGACTGGCCATGGGTCTCTTCACTCTTACAAGCAATCGTAGCATTTCTTCGTGCGTGTTAGAGCTCAAGCCATGGGAACTACAAGATCGACGAAACAAGTGGAGAGAACACAAAGTTGTTGTTTCGGATACGCGAGCCCATAAAATTCACCGAGACGACTGATGTTGGGGGACCAATACGGTATGTGCAGTCGGCCGCCGTCCAATTAAGTTGCTTCAAGCCACAGCCAGACATCATAATCCACGGGCAAGCAACGCTGCCACTGGTGCGCTGTCCTTGCTTATTAAGACACTCCAAGAATTCGTGCATCGAGCTTCTTCAGCTGATATTGGATGAAGATGCGAGAAAGGCTTCACATCAACGTTCATCGTGGAATATGTACAAGATGACGTTCCCGAGGAGTGAGACGGTGATTTGCAATACGAATGTGAGTTGACCGAGGGAACCTGGATCAATGCTGGAGAATCCAGAGTTTGCAGCTTGTTGCATGCATTCACTATATCGTACGAAGAGCCACTCCAATTCTCACCGTCCTCGAGATTGATAGTCTACATAGCTGTCTCTTTTGTGCAATGCTAAATGTTGTTAGAGACTTGAAAGAATCAATAGGGAATATGGGTAAATGCAAGCTGAATGTACAATGACAAAGATGGATAAAAACGCAAATTTCAAAATTGCTTGTTGTCAACCATGATGGCCTAAACAGTAGTGGTGACTCCTGGCTGTGATGGTTGGTTCTTGACAGGGGGCAAGGCAAGCTTCTTGGACAAGGCACGGCGTTGCTCCCACCATCCATTTACAACAAAATACTCATATGCCACCGCACAAGCAAGATTTGCTGTCATTATGGCAAGAATCTTGATGCGGAAGGACATTGGCATGATGGTACCTTCGTACATGGATCCAAGCAACAAAGTCAGCCCAATGCAAAAATTCATCACAGCTATAATACAACAGTCCAGGGCACATCAACTTACTGTTGTAAAAGTTTCCAATGGGAGCTGGTTCTGAGTCCAAAACACTTCTTACAATGTGGTCATTGTCACAGTTGATACGCCAGAGGCAGGAAAGATTGCCAGGGTGGAGAGTGATGACAATGTGGATGGTGATGTAGCCAATGACAAGAGCAGCAAACACATAGTTTCGCCACCAAGCTTGGCGGTACTCATAGCCAAAGTTGAGGGAAGCTGCGGCTGCCATTAGCTGGATGCCAACCATGAGAAACAGCACGGTGACTTTGTAATTATCACTGGCAGCAAAGACATTGCCAGCTTCAAGGCCGGCACCACCAATTCGGCACTGGTACCACTCCTCATGGTACAAGACCTGAAAAGCAATGATTGTGAAGATGAAATTGATGGCAATCATCCCAATAATACCACCAACAGTTTGGAGAGAAAGGAGAGAAGCAGTGGGTCGAGCTTTGGACAACTTTGATGCTGGTTTGGCAAGGGGGATTGCCAGAGCAAATGAAACTGTCCACACAACATCAATGAAGACCCACATCCAATCTGAGAAGGATAAACCTAGGTAATAGAGCACCATCTGGCAGTATGAACTGATATTTCCATATACAACCACATATTTGTATGCCGCCATGGTTGAGGCCATGGATCCCCGACCTTCCTTGAAAACCTTTAGAACATCAGCAATGTCTTTGTTCAAGGAAGTCAAGGGAGCCACAACACTAGCATCGCTGTCACTCAATGCCAAGCCAATGTGGGCTGCCCTCAAGGCTCCACAGTCATTGCCACCATCACCACACATCATGGTGGTGAAGGAAAGTGAAGTGAATGTATCCACAACAGACACCTTGTCCAAAGGAGAACAACGCCCAAACACTCGGATGAAAGGAGCCACTTCGATGGCATACACCTTGTCAGTGTTGAGCAGGACTTGCCATGCCTCCCCTGACATGCTCAACTCAACAGTTAGCTCCTTGGCTGAATCCTTGATGCTGGGTTTCTCCATTTCAGTGTCATCTTCAGCCATCCAGACCACATCGCCTACTTTGTTGAGGACACCAAGCAAGACCATCTTGTCCTTGTCCATAATGCCGGACTTGCGTGCAATGTGGATGCCAGTATGGAGATTGTCCCCTGTCAGCATGATGGACTGCACATCAGCTTCTTGGAGTTGTTTGATGACCTCTGGTGTGTCTTCCCTCAGCTGATTTGCAAAATTCAAGACACCAGCGAATTCTAGGTCACGCTCCACCTGATCTCTAGACAAGGATGCAATTTCTGCCAAGTTTTGGGTGTCCAAGTCTTTTGTGCCAACAGCAATCTGGTAGACTCCAGTGCGAGAGTATGCCCTCAATCGATCTTCAAATGTGGATGGCACTGTGTCAGGGTCACAGAGCATGCTTACTTTCTCGCCAGAACCTTTCACAATCACACAGATTGTACCACCTGACTGTCTAACAATCACTGACTGTGTCATGCGATTGTGGTCAAAATCAAATCTGCGGAGAACATCAAATGTCTCTCCATTTTTGGTCTTGACTTTGGCGGTTACACCTGAAGCTTCAACAAGTTCCCCTGCACTGGCCTCAAACATGGCACGGTCCACAGGGTTGCCAATAATTGTGCCAAGCTTGGATTTGGTCAGGGAATGGCAGACAGACATTGCCAAGGCCATGGTATCAGAAGTCCACTGCCCACAGGTCCAACTATCTGCACTCCTAGCTGAAATGTAATCCAATCCCTGTTTGGTCAAGGTCCCAGTCTTGTCGAAGAATGCGGCATTCACTTGGCTTGCAATCAAGATGCTATCAGAATTGGAGCAAGCAACTCCCTGCCTTGCAAGTCGCTCGAATGCAAATCCAACTGGAATGATGAATGTTGTAGGAAGAAGAGGGGGGAATGCATTGGAAAATGTACACCTGAAAGAGGAAATGAATGGAAGAGCTGAGATCAAATGATCCACAAGAGGGGGTTTGAAATGACCCCCATTGAAAAGCGCAGGCACTTACACCCCCAAGAACCAGGACATTATGGTGGGTTGACCACCAGATGTGAAAAGTACAATTAAAAAGCAGATGAAACTGTACGTGGCTAGGATGGAAATAGCAATGGGGAGTTCTGTGCGGTGCTGAAGAGTGTGTTTTCGGAAGACAAGAACATCTCGCATCAGTTCCCCCTTGCTTGTGTTAGAGGCTGTCTTCATAACAAGAGCCAGAGATTCTTCACACTCAAGGACAGTAGTCCCAGCTGAGAGTGTCATTCTCTTGTGAACTGCAGGATCATAAACTTGGCGACTGTGGGGATCAATGGGACTCTTGGCTTGAGGTGTGGCCTCACCAGTAAGTGCACTCTCATCCAGCACACATTCACCTGTTAACAAAACCATGTCACAATGTGCCTTTCCAGCTTCAACCTGCACAATATCACCAGGAACAAGCTCTCTTTGGTCCACCATCTTGAACTTGCCATCCCGAAGGACGGCGGCAGGTTGGTCAGAGACATGGGAGATTGTATACAGAACTTGAGCTCCTCGATAGCGGAACCAAGAAATCACGGTAGCTGTTAGCAAGATGATGAACCAAAGGCATACTGTCGCGTACAAGTAGTCAACGCTGGCCCAAATCCAAACGATGTAAACCTGATAAATGTAGAAAGGCTTGGCAATCTCTTCAGTGAAGATTGTGAAGAGTGAAGGAGGTGGAATCTCCAAAACATTTGGTCCCACTGCACGAAAACGTTCCTGAACATCCATATCTGAAAGACCCTTGCCATGCCAAATTGGAGGCTTTGGCTGATCATCAATGTCCACATCTTCTGATTCCTCATCCATCAACATGATTCGTTCCAGTGTGGCTTCAGCTTGCTCAATGATACTGATGCCTCTGGGGCTAAGATCTTGAAAGGTCTTTCCCATGGCCCAGAACCCAGGCTCATATGTACCGGAGAGTTTTTGGAAGTTGTAGCGCCGGAAAAGGAAGACCATGTATCTCGATCCATCTTCATTGTATTGCACTGGGCAAATGTCAAAGAACCCGAGTGAGTAATCAGGACGGCAGTTTTGATCAGCAAACAGAAAACTGAAGTAAGCATAAGCCATTGCTTGGACAGCATCCACAATGGCCATGATAAATGATGGGCACCGTTGGTGAGCATCTTGATCCTCCTCTTGCTCATTGGTCCATTCTTCGTGTTTGCCATTTCGCTCATGGAAGATGGCCACATAAGTGGCATCGTCAAGGTGGCAACGGCGCAAAAAGAGTGACTGAATGTTGTATGGCCACAGGAGGGAAACATTCCAGATAAATCCTGTCACCCAGACAACACAGAATGTCTTCAAGGCCATGGTTAGATCATCATCTTCCATTGTGGTGATCAAGTGGGTGCAAACAAACAGAAGAGCAAACCACCCAAAGAATGTCATCAAGGTCAACAGGTAGAGAATGCTTCCAACGAGATGGCACTTGTACCCAGTTTGGGTGGTCTTCCTAATTGTCCCATCTTCTTCTTTGGTATCAATGGCAACTGTAGAGCCTTCCACCGGGCATACACGTTGGCTGTCATTATGGCGGAGAAAAGAGGAAAAGAGAAGGAGTGAGACTATAGTGATAAACATTTTCAGGGGAAACACATTATGCTTGGCTTACTTGAACCAACACCAGTGTATGATTGAGATAGTAATAATGGATACCCAGCAATACACAGCTATGTATACGGGGTTTGTCCATGATAGCTTGCTGGATCCAACACCCATGCTCACATCATCATCAAAGTCAAAGCCAGGACAGAGAGAGGCAAACTCATACCATGGCCCATAGTCTTCAAAGCAGGCATCATAGTAGGCGATCTTTGAGGCACAGGTCACAGGAGAGCATGAACTGATCTCCTCACAGGGAGATGTCAAGCTTGGATCACAAAAAACTGCACAAGATCCATCAGCACAAAGGGTCTCATTGACATGGTTGCACTTGAGATCTTCAGGGCAGTCATCATAAGTTGGAGAGCAAACCTGAGGGCAGGTGGTTGTCACTGGGCATGTAAAGGACAGATCAACGTAGAGATCAGTGGCATCTTGTTGTGCCAATACCATTGGCGAAGCCCCAATGCTGAGAACAAGTAGGACCACGAACAAGAGAGCGGAGGTCGTCATCGTCACTTCGAATTGGTTTCGGAAGACAAGTTGGGCTTTGGGTCCTACTGGAAGGGATTGTGGGAGCAAGAATCGAGGGAGACCAGAGCTGAAAATGTGAGAAACTTGCCGAGACAAAGTGTTCCATTGACAGACCGAAGTCATTCTTGAACATTTTCAAAAAGAATTAAAGGCGTGGATGACTTTGTGTCTTAAAGGGTTTTTAGTCTGTCTAAATCACATATGAAGCACAGTCTCCCTACAAGCGATCCTTTAAACCCAAATTCGTTGAAGTGTCTCTTGGACTCGTCGGATGCCGACAGATCGCATCGGAAGCGCATTCTGCGCGATTTGACGACTTTGCTGCAGTCTTTGCTTTGCTAAGAGCCCATCGATGTCGATTACTCAGTACAAAAGCGCCACTCTTTTGGTTGGGAAGATCGAAAGCTTCCCACAGTCATATGGAAGAGGCTATGCATCTCATGTTTCTCGAGGAAGTTGAAGAGAAAGTTTCAAACAGCTCCCCAGATCCAAAGACTTTTCGGACCGTGATGCCTGCTTTAGCTTGTTTTTCCGTTTTTCCATCCAGCCTCATTCTAAAGGTGAATGGTTTCCTTGTGGGGAGAGCTGGTCTCGTCGGAACGTGAGGGGGTGCATCCATTCCTGCATGCCATCCGGTCGTACTTCATTCTTCGCCCTCGTCTCGAAGAAAACGCAAGGAACCACAGCGGTTGCAGCCTGGTGTCTGTTGAACGATTTGTGCAAGGAAAGGTCAAACTAGCGCCAAGCGAAACCTGCTGTAAGACTAGCACAGACGTGTCTTGGAACATTCTAAGTGTAGAAATGATGATGGAGACCCTTTACAATACCGTGAAACTGCTCACAGGTTTTTCAAACAACAAACACTTGGAAATGCAAGCCGAAGGAGAATTAAAATGAAGCTTGAAAGTACAAATGTTTCGGTTCCTATCCCATTCCAGGCCTGGACTCATCGATCGCCCTATACGCTTTATCCGGCCATGGAAGACTCTGAAGGCTCGTCGTCGAATTCATTGCTGCGCCAATGCCTCGAGACCTTCCCGAAATCAATGTCATCAACAGTGTAGAACTCAACAGATACTGGGCCAATGCCCCATGCTTGCTCATGCATGGAGGGTTTCACGCCTTCCTCGTTGACAAAATATGTGTGCATTTGCCCCTTGCCTTTCACCTCGATGGAGCCTCGTGAGTTCAATTCCATGTCCGGGCACTGCTGCTCAAGCAGCCTTGCAGATGACTTTGAACAATGAATGCGCCCTCTGAAACAAAATTGATAAACGCCAGGTGAGCCACAGAAAAACAAAAGTTATAAAACCGCGATTTTTGCTACATGTACATACGGTTCCCCAGATGATTCCATGCGAGAGGCCGTATTCACTGTCAAACAACAAGAGGACAACAAACAGTACCAGAAAGCAAAAAGGGGTGTGAGTGCTTTTGCTCCTGACACAACCATGTTATCTAGAGCTTCGTCTGATGATCATCGTACCCGCATCACTGGAGTTGCAGGGAGGACAAGGTCAAACGTGAGAGGTTGTACAGAGTGACTTCGCGAGCTATACTTTCCTTGCACTTACCCGAATAAACAATATCTTGGATTGCGACTCCCCACAACGTCCGCAACGACAGGCCCTGAGTGAAAGCCAACCCGAATGTTCACAAAACCTCTCTCCACGTCGTCTGTGTCAATCAGCACACTATTGGCAGCAGCAATAGCCTCCACGGAAAATTCAGCTATTCTTTTGACGTGGTCGCCTTCCTGGTCTTTCACCACTGTGCGATGGAAAACGATAAACTTGTCAGTACGTGTTTTGGTTTCAAATCTCAGGAAACAGATGACACGTACAATTTGAGACCGCCATGAACGCATCGCCAATAGTTTCTCTGTAGAAAGATGGAAAGTTACATGAGAGGTTGTCTAGGACGCATTGTTCCAAGTCGTAAACAAGGGTATCCTTACACCTTGTACACATCGTGCTGGATGGACAACTCGTCCAGTCTCCTGTAAAGTCTATCGAGCATGTTAGCCACCTTTTTGGGGTGAAGGGTAGCAGAGATATCCGTAAAACCTAGTCGTGCAGCGACGGAGAAGCGGTCAGTCAGTGAGTTCCTCGCCAAGCCTCGCACGGAAAAGCAAGCCAAATGGAGGTCAAGACAAAATAATCCGCTTACCGACAATATCAGAGAAGAAAATCGTGACACAGTCTTTGTGAGTTGCCTCCACTTCACGCCCATCTCTCAGGGCCTCTGCCACTTCCCGGGGGAAGATATCAAAGAGAGAGACGCTCGATTTGCGGTTAGGGGTCGAACCTCCCAAACTCTTCACGTCAACTCGCTTGAGGCGCTTGTCAATTTCTTCAAAGGAAGGGCGCTCCTCTGGGTCGTGTACAAAGCAGTCCGTCATCAAAGACTCCACCGGAGCTGGCATTCCTCTAGGAACTGGAGGGCGCTTGCTTACTGTCTTGTCGGCGACTTGGCCAAGAATGTCTTTAGTGTCGCTGTCCTCGTCCTCGTAAGGGTCCTTGCGGCTGTACGTTTCGTAAAGCAACATCCCAAAAGACCAAACATCGCTCTGTGTCGTGTTCGTGGAGATTCCCAGCAGCAATTCGGGAGCAGTCCAAAAGGGCGTTCCGGTCACCGCAGATCCCTTTTTCACGCTCATACCAAAGTCAGCCACCTATGGGTGGATCGCGCCGAGAAGGTTAGAGCCCGGATCACAGCCTTCCAGCAAATATTTGCATTGAGCTGCATGCGTCTCTTTACTTGCCTTTGCGCGAAACGAACGATCTACAAGAATATTTGCTGCAAGTGGAACGTTAGTTACAGGTAGGAGCAAGGCATCGACATGCACTATCCTCAATGAAAGAACTTACCAGCTTTTAGGTCGCCGTGTATGATCTGTGATTAGTTGGAGCGAGGAGAGCAAGATGGTTAGCGTTTCGAACAGACGGCGGTCCGAATGCACATGGCGTCGTACTTGCCTGTGGGTTGGCGGAGTGGAGAAACCTCATTCCTTGGGACACATCCAGCAAAATTGGTAGAATCATCTCTGGATCAAGTCCAATTGTTTCATTGTGACATATATCATAAAGCGACCCGTGTTCCACTGCCCAAGCACATACTTGATAAGTTAGACATCATAAGGCGAGGATAGTCTTCACGTTGGAAGGTCGGTACTTACTCAGTTCCATCACCAGCATTGGTTCCTTCCCCATGACAGCTCCTGCAAAGTTTCCAAGTTACTAGTGAGATAGTATGCTCTCTTGTGTTCCATGGACGGTCCGACGACAACGGAACTCACCCATTACAGTTGTAATGCAAGGATGTCGCAAAGAGCTTAGGCTCCGCATTTCAGCAACTAGATTCTTCTTCATCCTTGAATAGGAGGCCCGATCAACTAACACACTACTGCGCATCCCCTCAAGTCCCGGTCTGGTTGTGTTGCAGCCTATCTTGGCTGATTCCGCCACGGTTGACGAGGACGCCGACCCTAGTGGAGTTGAAAGAAATCGTTGCATGGTTCCTGTCGAGCTTTTCTGTGACTGACGACGTTTTTTCTTGCTCCTGAGTGGCAAAGCTCGTTTCACCGCAACCTATGATGACGACGGGTTCATCAGCAGGCATTCGTCATTTCGCACATGTACGCGCGGGGGTTCGTAAAACTTAAACAGGCAAAGCCGCCATTTGATCCACTTACCTCGGTCCCTCTAAACTCAGCCTTCAATACGAGCCCAAAGGATCCTCTGCCCAGTACCTTAGGCTTGTCGGGGAATAGAAGCTCGTCTTTGTTAATTGTCCAAATAGCATCCTGATGTTTCCGTCTCTGTCCAAGCAATACGCTGCCGAACAAGCATAACGACAGGATTACACCAATGACGATTGCCGCGACAACCCCCGGGTCCATACCCCGCTCTACTAGCACAGGTATCACAATGTCCACAAATATTGTTGTCTCGCGGGTTGCTGTGCTGTCGTCCGCGTATTCCACAAAGGCGCTGTCACAGGATGAGATCTTGTTTTGAACCACGAACGACGTCGACCCAGTACCCAACATGTCAGCCGCGGCTACAGTCACTTTCACTCTGACGGTGCTGTTGGCATCGTACAACACGACTCGTGGAGGATCAAAAGTCACCTCCATGGGTGTGGACGAGGCAAGTTGTGGCTCTATCCAAACGGCACCTCGATGTGGCCTGGATCCCAACTGCAGGTCAAAGGAGGCTTCCCCGCACCCTTCATAAGACGTCTCGATCGAAATGGCTTGTGGCTCAATCATAACCTTGGCATTGTCCATTGTGTGGCGAGTTCTCGGCGGTAACCCTGATGTCCAACCAGGAATCGTCCCGTCTTCATCCCCGAAATGGTCTTCTTCACAACAGATTTTCTGGGGGCCACTGCCCATGGTTTCAAAGAGGTAACAAAGGAGTTCTGCGTTTTTGAACCGACCGTCAAAGCCAAAAAAGTTGCATTCTTTGGAAATGGCACAATACTCGGCACATTTCTCGGGACTCTCGGCTGCTTCTGCCATGAATGGGGAACTTGGTCGCACTTCGGACTGTACGGCTCCATCGGGAAACTCGACAAAGGGATAGTATGTGGCATCATCCCCCGGATGTTTCACCTTCATGTTACAAAAGGAGAGTCCTCCCGATGGCTCTGCCAGCGGCAAGTGCTCTCCTACCGAGCAGCAAATGTCGCCAAAAGCTGCTGCTCCCTTGCCTTGCTCATCGCTGCTGATTGCCGTGGCCAGCTGATCATCTTGCGTGTGAATGGCCGTGAGCTGGGGAAGTTGTTGCAATGCCTGGTATGAAATGTGCCGCATCTCTGCGGGAAGCCAAATCTCTTGCAACGACGAAGCAACCGCTTCCAAAGATCCCTTTCCGATGAATACGAGGTTCGAATTGTTGCGTAAATCGAGCGAGAGCGGAGTCCATTCTTCGTCCAATGTTTTGGGAAGAATCACGAGATTGCGATCACGACAGTCAATGGTGCGATTGAATGGTTGACACTCGCACAAGTCGCAAAAGTCTCCCCGCTTGGTGGCATCATCAATCCAAAAGGTGGTCAGATCTTGTTGCAATGTGAGCGTGCTGGGAATTCCAATGTCGGTCGCTTCCAAATAGCTGGCCATGTAGCAATGCTCGGCCATGAAGAATCCGTAGAGACATGCCGGATCGGCAGCACATGTTGCTTCGCATTGACTGCTCTGAAATTCCACCTTTTGGAATTGGTGTGCATAATGAAACGAAACGTCCGTTTCTCGGACGGCCATGCGTTGTTCTGCGGTGGATTGCTGCTGATAATACGCCGTCATGTTGAAGAGATCAATGGATCCATTGACGGTCGACCCCAACTCCCCTTGCGAATCCATACTAATCTCAATATTGAATCCTTTAATGTATTCCTTGTCGAATTGTCGATTCCCAATTCCACCGGACCATCCGGTCAACCAAAAGGGCGCCGACGAGTTGGTCCCGCCCCGGAGGGGCATGTGAATCTCCCCAAAGGCATCTGCGACTTCGTCCAGAACGTAATGAAACGAGTACCACCATTCCCAATCTTCCGTTTGGTCGTTGCAGTGATGTGTGTGGGCACAGACATGCACATGACTGGCATCGGCCAGCATGACGCGTAAATGGGTGCGACCGGGGACGGATGCAGGTTGACGTACTTTGTACCCCAACGACAACGTGTTGGCTTGCGAAAGATTGTAATAGGCGGGCCCAACCGCCATGTTGTCGAGACTGAGGAATCCACCCCAGGACTCGACCATTTCCACTGTATAATCCAAAGAGAGGGTCCCATTCGTGTAGTCGAGGGCCACATGACTCTGGTTCTCGGCCATGGGGGATTGATACCACCCCTCGTGCCACGCACCCGAGTCAATGGCTTGTTCCCAACTGGAAAAGGACGTCAGCCCGGCACCCATCATGGCTTGACCTCCAATGCAGGCGAGTTGGTCTACAAGCAGTGTACTTCTCTTGGTGGTGCTGGTGGTAGCGCTGCTGTTGGCCTGTGAAATCTCAATCTTCCAACCCCGCAAGCGATGGAGATCGAGCACGCCATTGCCTCGTGCATGTAGCGGTTGGAACTGGTCGAACCTTACTTGGAGCTGTTGCCAGTCTGTCTCATTGACAGAGGTGGAGAGTGGGATGGAAATATAGTAGGAGTCCCACGACCGGGTCGCATTGTTGCTCGGGTAGGTACTGCGGTTGAACTGAGTGGGATCCCCATTGTCATCCACTAGAATGAGCCGGACCTGTGTGTTGTTGGCCATGGGCGTCAGTTGCTTGTACCAGACCGACATGTGGGTCGCTTCTCGACACGTGTGAGGCGTCTCTGGCTGCAGGACACCCACTTGGATTCTTCTTGCAGTTGCGGTAGAAAAGTCCAAGCGAAGCGACGAGTTGCCAAACATGGCGCCGTCTTGCAGAGTCACATTGAAGCTATGACTGCTCGTAGTAGTACTCGTAGTAGTGGTGGGGCTACTAGTAGCAGAGATGAGCCACTGGTTGGGGTTGAGCCTTTCAAAGGGTTCCATCACATACGAGATTTCAAAGTCATCATCAGATTCTGTCTGGGTAGCTGATGACTCTGCATCCTCAGTGGACGGCCATTGTAAGCCTCGAAGGCCCATGGCTGCTACCCCACAGGTAGATAAGGAGAACAAGCTCAAGAGCAGAAAGACCCAACAGGCAGCCATCGAAGACATTGGTATTCTCATGCTTGTTGTGCCTGTGCTTGTGCCTGTGGAGACTGATGACTTTCTATTAATAGAACCTGATGTAGAGGGATGATAAGGATGACGATGGAGGCAGGTCTTTGTCTTCTTCATTTCTTTGGAGGCTTTGCTTGGATGCAAAAATAAATTAACTGCCGCTGGAATGGAAACTCTTCAAAGCAAGCTGTCAAGGTCCAAGGTCAAAGCAACTTTAGAAAGCTACCGTTCCACTAGGTTTGATGGATGCACTGTATTGATCGTGTCGAGGTGTTGGTCTTTGTGCTGGAGTCGAGTCAAGAATAATGAACTTGTTCTTGACTTGTTGACTTCCCGAGAGGCAAAAAGCCGTTCCCGGCGACAAGGTATCAGAGCAGTGCGAGCAATTATTGTAAGAGGGGCAGGTGAGGGGCTCCGTTTCTCAGTTCTCAGTAACCACTGTATCATCATAGCCATCATCATGGCACTGTGTTATGGTAAGAATGGAGATGGGGGTATCTTGCGGAGCCAGCTTTCCCCGGCCACGTCATAGTTAAGACTCTCAATTATGGAAATTATGAGTTATTGTTGGGGAACTGCCCAGTCATTTGACGGAGAGAACTATTCTCCGAGTCTTTCAAGTCGCCGGATTGACCGTCAACCCTTTAAGGCTTTTAATACCAAGAAACGTAAAGATTGCCGTGGAATGCTCTTGGTGGCTTGATGGTGGTTTCAATTATCAATTATAGTCACAAGAGCCTGCTGTAGCTTACGGTATTAAGTACCACTGCTGTACCACAAGAATCCTTTTGGTTGTGTTCCGATTCCCGATGACCCAGTGGAAGCTGTGGCTTCTACATGTACAGTGGCAGCTCTGCCGCTCTTTAGAAAGTCCTGTACCGGTACAGCTACCTTTACACTTTCTTTTCGGTGTATTGGCACTTATTAGACAGCTCAAGGACTCGACACTCGACAACCGAGCTACGAGATATCGGTACGAATGATTTCTGTTTGCATCATCCTGTGTGGCACAAGGACACCATTGTGCTAGTATCTACAGCTGCATGGTTAGCTTGTTCATACCCAAACGAAGCGAACCTTAGGTCTAGCTAGCTACTGTAGCTAGCAAGAGCCTTGCTGCATGCTAGCATGGTGACACCACAAACTACATGGAGTTTGAACTCATCCGTTTCGGCCATACAGTAAGAGTAGCATGCCAGCACCACAACAACTGCGGAAGATGACTACGCCGGCACCAAAGAAATACGCCCTGGAAGCGATGGAAGGCAGCCCAACGACAAGACAACCATCCGCCACCGCCCGTCACTTGCTTGCGCTGAACAAAACGTGATGGACAGGATGCTCCCATCGTCTTGCTGCTGTTGCTTCGAAAGGATATTTGGGTCCAGAACATTCTGCCCTTTCCTGTAGTAGGCAGCCCTGCCGCCCAGAATAAAATCTGATTAGTTATCTTCCATGCATTAGTTTTATACACATTCTGTCTAGCTAGCAAGAATCATTTCCTTGCAGTTTGCTTGGTTCACCCTGTTCTTGACATCATTGACTTCTTGCAACCATTAAAGTGGCCCAAGCTTCACTTGTGGACCACTAGCTACCATACCACAGAGGCAAGTTCCAAATCTCCTGTAGCCAAGACATCATGCACACAGCCATCCATGTTGGTTGCCCCAGCACAGGCATTTCTTGCATCATCTTCAGGAACAGTCGATTCACCAAGACGTCTGCTTTTGGTGGTTTTGGATTGGTGTGGGAGCTCACAGGACTGGGGATACTGAGGGGCTTGTGCAGTCTGAAACACCAAACCATCATCCTCCGGATGGACTTGCCACTCGGCGGCAAGAAGGTCAGGGTCGGTAACAACCATGGTCCCATCCCGAGACATGGTCTCTCCAGTTGCATAATCTCCTAGCATTCCTTGGCTCCCCAAGAACCGCTGGGCATCAGCCTTGTCCAGCTTGACAGAGGCAAGCTCCTTGTAGCTCTTGAGGGTAATAGTTTCCCCACCACCCACGGAAATGTCAAAGGTATGGGTTCGGATATCAACTTGCTTGTAGTGAACCGGAAAAGGACCCAAGAAAATGTCCTCGTGGGCCAGGTCGGCTCCATCCACTCCATTCAAAAAGTGTTCTCCGAAACTGGCAACCTCCAAGATGTCATTTCCAATCTTAATGGCTGCACTTTCCACATAGCTGTAATCGCATCTAGTTGTGGTCCGAATGACCACCAACAGAGGGAATCCATCCTCAAACTTGGGGGCATCCAGAAGAATGAGATCACAGGGTCCCATGTAGGCTATGATGGGGATAGTGGTGATGGGAATGTAAGATAACCAATCATGCAGTAACCCATGGCACACCCGATACTGAAGAAGCAGGAATCAAATCTTACCATACCATTTCCCATTCCAAGTTTGGAAGTGAGGGTCTCCTCAAACAGTGCCAGACTTGGGAGCAGAGCGGCATTGACTGCCATCACCCTCAAAGCCTGCATTGCATTGACACCGAGCACCCAACATTGAGCATTGACATCACAGGGACTAAGGTTGCATGGGCAGGAACCATGGCTTCCAGTGGCAAGGGAAGGCTGATAGGTTCCATCAATGGTTAATGCAGAACATGAATCGGAAGATTGGCAGTCTAAGCAGGTAGCTTGTGGTAGAGAGAAGGCATGGCAAGCATTTGGGGCACTACAATTGATTTCTGCTGCTAAGGATCCGGTCATTGACTGGCAGGCCGTGGGACCACCACAATTCAGCACTGCTGCACCATCCACTGTTGATCGCTTGCAGCTGTCAAACTCTAGACAATCCAACTTTGCACATTGGTTGCTTTCATTGGAATACAACTCTGACGATGACAGGTGACTTTTGGAGCATTGGTTATGTCCACTGGCCCACAACTGACATTGCCAGGTCCACAAATGACCTCCCCACTAACGTCTGATATCTTTGCAGACGAACATGAACCAGCACTGGTTTTGCACTCCACAATTCCAACATTTGAAATGATGGCATTTAAGCAGGCAAGAGTACCATGACAGCGAACGGTAGTACACCCTGAAATAATGGAATCTTGGCAGGCAAAAGCTCCAATGCAGTCGAGGCTGTCATCAGGATTGATAGAACCACCGGCACTGGATGTACATGCAGCGGAGACCACATGTAGCCAAGCAAGGAGGCTCAACAGGCAGGGCAAGATACTGGTAGGCTGATACTTCATCGTTGTTGGTTTTTATTATTTTAAAATACGCTTGGCAAGTTTGGTGTTGCACGTTTTGTGGACCTGGTGCCTGCTGAAGCGGAGTCGATCCTCTTTGTTTCGTTTGTACGTGTGTACCATTCTCGATGAAGGAATGGGGTTTTGTGAGTCGTCTCGACCGAGGTGATTTCTCACTGTACGACTGTACGCTTTACAGTACTAAGCTTGACCAAAGATGAGTACCAGTCTGTGACTGAACTTCTTAATTTGGATGTTGTTTTGGGATAACTGGTGTGGGGGGAGAAACAGCACTAGCCTCTCTAGCTAGACTCTAGAGTAGCTAGCTAGTACTATTAGAGGATTTTATGCTGGGAACTGGAAAGGCATGGAGGCATTGATGCATTGTTTTAGGGTTGCAAAGTTGCAAACGAGATGTCAAGAAGTTGTTAGTTGGCTGCTTCAGATCTTGAGCGTCTCAGTGGCCAGAGAAGAGCAGCCAAAGACGGCAAAGGAGATGCCAATGCATCGCTCCTTAGCTTGATTTGTGCAGTGTGTGTGCGATCCTAAGCAAGTGGTTTTCGTTGCTAGCTAGCTAGTGCACCCTGGAGCAATAGTTATTGCTTGCAACAAGAAACGCATGCAGTCCTCGCAGAATCGCTCATCCTGTTTTTGAGGGTGGCGGAGATCGTGTCGCTGTCTGCTACTGCCGGCAAGAAGGTACCAGTACTACACACTGATTGCCTGCTGGCTGTCATTCTATCGTATCCTGGCGTGGTAGCTAAGAGCAGCCAGCCACTTGGCAAAGCGCCAGTAAAGCAAGCAAAGCTCTAGATAGGGACAGCGGGCAGCCACCCGGCTATACTACCATGAATAGGTACCGGTAGTAGCTAGTTAGCGTTGCGGCGAAGTACTGTTGTAGTACCAGTCAGCCATGGAAGCAATGTGCCAATTCCATTGGCTGTATCGTTCGTTCGGTACCAGAGACGAGTCGAGTCAACCTAAACGGAGCAACGAGCATGGCGCTTGGCATAAGCAACCCCGTGAAAGAAGTCCGTGTCATTGAGTTGTCTGCCTGGATCCAACAGCAGCTAGCTGGCTACTCGATGCTGGCTGGCCCAGAACAAAATCCCACCCGCTGTGTTGTTAGAGTTGTCCCTCAGGCACCACGCCGTCTTGATCTTCTTGCAAGAAGTAATTCGGGGTTTGACAGAATGCATGCATAACACTGCTACTAGCTACTCACCTGCAAATCCTCTCTTCCGAGCTGTTGGCCGCCAACAGCAGCAATTTTTGCATAGCTAGCTGGTCATTGCTAGCTAGCTAGCTAGTAGTACGACTGTACGTACAGCAAGGTGCCGAGGGCATCGCCGTGGGAGAGCTCAAGGCAGCGCTTGCTTTGCTTTTGTCAGCACGGACAGTTTCATGAGTGGATCATGTTACTAGGTGTTGTCTATCTATCTAGTAAGTAAGATTGAGTGATGAAGTTGAGAGTAGTACTAATATGGTATGCATGAGCTAGTAGCAGGTTAATAAAATGGAAAAAGTATAAACAAAATTGTGTTTGCCAAGGCAGGAAGAGGAGGAGGACTTGGAAGAAGGAAATATAGGCAGTGTGGCATTACAGGCTCTGCTCATCAATCAAAGCCAGAGCAGCCGCCAAATGACGGGCTGCCGTGGACTTGACCATGGAGACCATTCCCAAGGATGTTGGATCTTTGAGCCCAATCTGACGCTGCACATGTTGGTGCTGCAAGACACTTCGAATGGTTGTCTTGATCCCCGATGCTCTGTACTTGAAGATTTCGGGAGTGGCATTCATTTCCAGGCCCCGCACACATTGGCTATTGGGATCCAGAACACTCAGGTCTCCCTTGGCGTGTCGCAGGGTACGGATGGTGCTCAGTCGATCGTAGTGAAAGACTTTGTATTCTTGGGGCTGGTACCATGCCATTTGGAGCTCTTCTTTGGGGGCATGGCGAAACTGGACCTTGTTGTCCGAGTCCGAAAATCGAACGGACTTGTTGGACACCTTCTTATTAGCCGCATTGTGGACCTTTGTGGAGTGAGCCTTCACTGCCATCTTGGTGGCAGCCTTGGTGCAGCATTTAGTGGTAGTTCGGCACATGGTTGTTTACTTAGATTGAGGGATGTGATCAAGAGAGATTTTATGGGAGGAGTGTTCTATCATCTCCCCAATGTCGCCAGATCGTGCACCAGCACAAGATCTCAAGATATCTGGCATTGACACTATGCAAAATTCTGTATAGACGAAAATGTCTTGGAACGCCATCAAAAGTATCATCAGTCAATATTTCAGTCTGACATCAGTAAATACTTAAAGTACCTCATTCTGACCCCAAGAATAGAATGGCATTTCTATTAAGCCCAGAGGTCATTCTTCCCCTTTGTGCCTCATTGTACAACCATTGACATCGTAAAAACCACCTGACTCAGACTTCGATGACAGCATTACGGCATTGCTTATTAATCAAGAGGCTTCTTTCAGGGCTTCACAATAAATGTTAAAGATGTCGGAGGCATATATAGTCATGGATCGATAAAGGAACAAAGTGAAAACCAAGAACATTATTGGACGACATGACCGCATGACCACATTATGTTGCATACATATTGAGAGTGCCACACGACCATCGCATCACGTGACTGCGTCTGATGTCTGATGCCAGCCTCTCGAAAGATCTTGTACCGGTACCACCATTACCATTACCAGTCCCGGTAGGATTTTCCGCGCTCCCATCACAACATCATATCAGTTCTGCTAGACTACATCACAGATGGCAAAGACGTCGGCCTTTCGTCTTTTTACCGTGGTTGCTCTAGCTAGCTAGCCTCGAGCCTGGCCCGGATGCTGATGAGGGGCTCCAGCAGTCTGGAACAGCATCCCATCACCCTCAGGATGGACCTGCAGGGTTGGTATCAACCAAAGTCTCATTCCTGGTCTTGGTATCCCCAGTCTCACAATCGTCTAGCATTCCTTGCCTCCCTTCCCCAAGAAGCAATCTCCGGGCATCCGTCTTGCCAGTTGACCGCGACAAGATCCTTATAGCTCTTGTTGCTTGAGCAGAATAGGTTCACCACCAGCCACCTGAGGAAATATCAAGGTATGGGTCTGGATATCAACTTGGTTGTAGTGCATGGCAGGCAAACTCTAAGAACCTGTCCTTGTGGGCCATGTGTCAGCTCCATCCACTCCAATAAAAAACTGTTCTCCAGAACTGGCAACCTCCAAGATGTCATCTCCAATCTTAATGGCTGCACTTTCGGCATAGCTGCAATCGTACAGGTTGTGGTCTGAAGAACCACCAACAGATGGAATCCATCCTCAAACTTGGGGGCATCCGGAAGACTGTAGTCTATGATGGGGGATTGTGGTTGTGGTGGTTGAAAGAAAGCAGCAAGGATTATGCAGATGTGGCAGCAATCTGTGCTTGCTTATTCAGCTATTGAACGTTCTGAGGGTGTGTGAATCAGCCACAACTTAGTACAATACCACTTACGATTCCAAGAAGGTTGGAAGCAATGGACCTCTTGAACTCTGCTACTGTAGTTTGGGGTTGCACGAAAGGCAATCACCTTAATTGGAAGGCGGCATTGCATTGACACTGATAGCCAGCCACAATGCTGGAATAATCAGCATTGGAATCATAGGGACTGGGGTTGCGTGGATCATGGACGCAACCATTCCAAGAGCACCGGGAGGACGTCTCCATTGGCTGGCTAGAGCGGTACTGTTGGCAAGTTGCTCATGTTTCGCTCTTATTAAGCTAAGTGTAACTGCAAGGCTACAGTGTTTGCTTCGGTTTCTATAGCTGGCTCCAACCGGACCTGATCCACGGGACCACTCGAAGTGACGGAACTACAAAACTAGCTAAGCATAATGCTTGAACACATCCAGCTATACCCAAAGTTAGTTGTAAACAACAACACCAGACATACACACACCACCAGACACAAACCTACGTATGCACACACTACAGGAGCTTTCCCTTTCTTCTTTTCAGTTCAGTGCTTCTTCTTTTTCACTGCTCACGCCCTCTTGCTGACATTCAACCAGCAGCCGTTCACTGGTTTTTGCAAGACGGTCTTGCACATGGTCTCCATTTTGTATCCTGGTTTGACCTGGAACTCCAACTGCTTGAGCAGATTGGCCATGACGATGACGCCCTCTTGTTGTGCAAATTTGTGTCCGACACAATTGCGTCCACCCGCCGAAAAGGACAAGACGTGCGCATAATTTCCCGTGGGAATGCCACCGTACTCATCCGACGGTAGCCGTTCTCTCCAGGCACCATTGGCAGTGGGTACCGCCCACCGCTCGGGACGAAACTCGTGCGGATGAGGGAATCGTTCTTCGTTGAGATTAATGGCTTGCGTGGCAATCTGGACATCGGCTCCCTGGGGGACGACGAGTCCTCCTTTGAGTACCAGGGATCGACTGAGGGTTCGATTGTTAAAGGGGAGCGGTGCATACAAGCGCAGGGCTTCCCAAAAGGCCCCATGACAGTACGCAAGAGCCCGGTGATTGGACATGTCGTCGTCCCCCAGATTTTGGATTTCTCGCACACACGTATCTTGTGCTTCTGGGTGGAGTGCCAATAGATAGAGTACAGCACTGAGTGTAATCGATGTGGTATCGAAGCCGCCTTGAAAGAGTCCTAGACAGACACCCATGAGATCCATATCGGTGTAATGTTCGGCTCCTTCGAGCATGGTCTTGACATTGCCATGAGCGCGCAATAGTTTGGACATGACATCGCGTCCTCGGTCACCTCGTTCCAATGCTTGTCTCTTTTTGTTAATGATTCCCATCATGAATTCTTCCAAGAATCGTCGATGTTGACGATGTTGACGATTGGCATCGGTCGGTAACCAATAAAAGATGAGCTGGGGTAGATAAAAGTATCGAATGCGTTTGAACAATTCACTGCACAAAAATTCAAACGCCGATGCCACGGGCGAAATGAGTTCTTCCTTGCCACAACAATTCATGTCGACATCAAACAATGTGCGACAGAGAATATCCAATGTAATGACTTTCATGAGTGGTTCGAAATCCAACGACAGCACGCCGCTCGTCGTAGAATCCAATTTGCGCAAAATGGTGCGACTCATGATTTGTGTGACTTGCATACAATCGCGTCGGGTGTCGTCCAAAAAATGTTCATTAATGGTCGAAGTGACAGCCGTCCGTTGGAGTTTCCAATCGCGACCATTGAGAATGAGAAAATCTCGTTTTCCGGTAAAGTAGGCAAAATGGCGTGTCACGGGGTATGGGACAAAGCGATCCTTTTCTTTGTGCAAGACCGTCTTGGCATCCTCCAAATCAAACACGCACAGCGTGGGTTTGTCAAAGATCCAAATTCCCACTTGACCGTATTGGTTGGCAGCACGGCTGAATTGACGAAACGTTTCGTGGAAATCTTCGTGAAGAAAGCGAAAGAGATGTCCCCACAAAAAGTGACTGTGCGGGGCCATGGGGGCTCCCGTAATGGGAATCTTGGTTGTCAGATAGTGGTACAGCAGAAACATCACACTGCCCACTAGCAGCAATAAGGCGGCGGTGGCACCGTGGGGGTTCTCATGCAGCATCGTTGTGATGAAGGTGTCAGACATGATCGATTTGGAAATGGAATGATACCTTGTAGAGAAAAGAAAACAACAATTCAGCCAGAGAAGAAGGGAAGAAGGGATTGTGTAGCAGGTAGCAGATTCTGTAGCGTTGGGTTGAGATACTCAGTCGTCTTCTTTTTTTTCCTTCGCCTAGCTAGCTTGGATCTATGCAACCATTAATGAAGCAAGAGATTCTCACACCATGCACAAAAGAGAACTCTTCTGATTGCGATTGTGCTGGTGTTTGAGCAGCCTTTCAAGTGATGGCCCGAGTGTACCGGTAATCTGCGTACTATGGTGGAACCGGAAGAAGCAAAGAAGAAGAGCTATTTCATGTATGTTAGCTTCGATCGAGACATCCCAGTGATGGCCGAAATGTGCGTAGCTCCCAAAGAAGCCGGTACATGTCATGTACTGGTAGCTCGGGATGCAACCAGGAAAGAGAGAGGAAGAAAGAAAGATTTTGGTATAATTTCATCTTTGCTGAAGGTGATCCAAAAGATACTTCGCATGGATGAGTATGGATGTCGCGTCCAAGCACGCTTCAAAGACAGGGAGGTGGGAGTTAAGAAGAAAGTCGCATAATTCTGTTGAAAAATATTTACCCCAGCTTTAAAGCGAACCTAGTTTGCGGCACGGTCACACTTCTTCCATCGCAATTAGATTGTTCTGCGCTTCGGTACTTAGCCACCCCCCTTCTGGATTTGCTCTAAACACCAAATGATACTTAGCCGATGAAGATATTCAGCGGTTTGATATCAAGATCCTGGCTGGCTTCCACTAAATAACACTACCCCCAACACTACTATGGTTTTAGTGTTCAGGCTAATCCGGAACCCAAACACATCCACGTCTACGGTACTAGCTACTGGTACCAGCTACGAGCCGTAGAGCCAAAGCCAGGCTGTCGTGGCTTCCCACGACACCGCAATGAAGGATCATCAGAGATGTTGGTGCTACAGCTCTCTGTTAGATTAGACCAGACATAAGGATCATTCGAGAATAGAACTGATGGCATCTTCAAAGAACAAACGAACTAAGAAGACTACTCGTATTATCAAGCTACTCAGTTGTCGTTTTGGCGTCAAGAAGAAGCAGGCGCCAGCGACTCGCAAACAGTGGAACCAAGGTGGCACCAAGGTTAACATGTCTGCTAGTAGCAGCGACCTGGATAACTTGCCTAGCGAACTGCTCAAGAAGCAGGCGCCAACAACTAGCGAACAGCAGAAAAAAGGCGGCATGAAGGCTGACATGTCTGCTGGCAGCAGCAACCTGGTTGGCTTGCATGGCGACCTGCTCCGTCAGGTGGCCTGCTTCCTCGGCAGGGATGACCTTGGCAGCTTGGCATTGACGTCTCCTACAATCTATCAGCATCTGAGCATTGGAAGTGTCCACCATCATCAGGGCCGCAACCTTGATAATAATGATCGTTTTGTCAATTTTAACGATCGTTTTGGCTATGGGTGGGGGTACGCGGCCAAATTGCAGGGCGTCGTTGCTGGTGCCACCTTTGCCAACCGACCTATCCATTCCATGCAGGTGTCCTTCCGCTGGCGGGATCAAGGATGGGGCAACCAGAAGGGAATGGCACGTGTTGTGGCAGTGAATGCCGATAATACTAGTCATTGCCAAGTGAGCTGCACACATAGTGCCGGAATTGCACCCCATGCAGAGGCAGAACAAAAGTCCATGTGTTTCATGCCCGTCCCTGGGATGGAATACTTCTTGCAGATTTTGGTAGGTGGTGGTGGCGGACATTCGCTACATCTCAAGAATATTCAACTTCACTATATCATTTTCGATGATGAGGAACACAGTGTCACCCGAACTCATCAGCAACTGTTGGGAGGAGGTACAACAGTCGCCTTGGACTTTCCATTGCTGCTTCGCCAGTGTCAAGCAGTACTGGCAGAGCTGCACGGCAGAGCCCAAATGGGAAGTCAAGAAGAAATCACTGAGCTCGACGCCATTCTTAAACGTATGGGGCGTGAAAAGACACCTGCCTCTCTTGAATTACTCCAAGAAGTTCTCTTGGCCGAGTCCAAGTACCAAGAGCAAGTTCAGGCCACAACTTGGACAATGGGCATTGGTTCGAGTGAGCCAATGCCAACCATCGCGAATAATCGGCGTCCTGGCTTGCGCCTCGGTTGGTGACGAATTGGACGAAGATGAATTAGTCCGATGTCCGATTGGAGGAAGCGTTGAGAATTTGTTCAATGAAGGGTAAAAGTAATGCAGATAGTGGACCACTTTGACTGCGCAAAGCGAGTTATAGAAATATATTCTAGAGCCCGTGAATCTTCGTATTTTGACTGATGTCCATTCAGCCGCCAAGATCTCTTTGTGCTACCGTCCGGCTACTAGGCTGACTATGGTGCTCTTCCTCGTCGAACAAGCCTCTCATCCGGTGGCCATGGAATGCGTTGCATGTGATGACGCTGCTCCACAAAACTTTCAGGAGCGAGGGGGGGGGCTAAGCCAGGCAGAACGGCGGCGATCGCGGACAGGTACTTTTAGTTCAACTAAATACCGGTACTGGTACCACCACATGCTGTAGTAGGGGTGATCGAAAGCAATTCGGTCCCCCAAACTCAGGATTCTTGTCTCATTCGCACTTGTATTCATTGATAGTGTTCAGGTTAAACCCAGACCAAAATCCACGTCTCGTGCAGAATGATGGACTGAGGACTCCGACTGAGGCTCCCCACGACACGGCAATGAAGCAAAGATGTTGTCGCCACGGCTATCTCTAGCGGCTAGCCAGAACAGTCGTACTGTAGCCAGCTTGTGGACCAGACATAAGAAGCATTCATCCTTCACTAAATTGCTCGCAACAAATCAAGAACAGAACTGACGATCATGGCATCACCAAAGAACAAACAAACTCAGATCACTGCTCATATTCGCAAGCTATTTAGTTGTCTGTTTCTTGGTAGCAAGAAGCAGGCGACAGTGACTCGCGAACAGCGGAAAAGAAGCGGCATGAAGGTTGACCTGTCTACCGATAGCAGCGGCCTGGTTAACTTGCCTACCGACCTGCTCCATCAGGTGGCCTGCTTTCTGGTCAGGGACGACCTTGTCAGCTTGGCATTGACGTCTCCTACAATCTATCAGCATCTGAGCATTGGCAGTGTCAACCATCCAGCTGATCAGCAGGGCCCCAACCATAATAATGATCCGGGTGTTGTTTTTAATGATCGTTTTGGCTGTGGGTGGGGGTACGCAGCCAAATTGCAGAGTGTTGCCACCTTTGCCAATCGACCTATCCATTCCGTCCAGGTGTCATTCCGCTGGCGGGATCAAGGATGGGGCAACCAGAAGGGAATGGCTCGTATCGTGGCAGTGAATGCCGATAATACTAGTCATTGCCAAGTGAGCTGCACACATAGTGCCGGAATTGCACCCCATGAAGAGACAGAACAAAAGTCCATGTGTTTTATGCCCCTTGCTGGGATGGAATACTTCTTGCAGGTTCGGGTGGGTGGTGGTGGTGGGCACTCACTACATCTCAAGAATATTCAACAACACTACATCATTTTTGACGACGAGGACCGCAGTGTCACCCGAACTCACCAACAGCTAATGGGAGGAGGTACAACAGTCCCTTCCGGCGCTCCCTCACTGCTTCGCTGCGCTCGGCTGCTGGGGGGATGTGCATCAGTCCCTTCCAACTTCCCCTTGCTGCTTCGCCAGTGTCAAGTGGTGCTGGCAGAGCTACAGGGCAAAACCCACAACAACTATGAAATGGAAAGTCAAGAAAATGCTACAGAGCTCTACGCCATTCTTAAACGAATAGGGCACGAAAAGACGCCTGCCTCTGTAAAATTGCTCCAAGATGTTCTCTTGGCCGAGTCCAAGTACCAAGAGCAAGTTCAGGCCACAACTTGGACGATGGGTATTGGTTCGAGTGAGTTAATGCCGATCATCGCAAATCACCGGCATTTTGGTGGCTTGCGCATTGGTGATGGTTGGGACTGGAACAACGACGACGATTTGGACGAAGATGAATTTGTCCGATGGGAGGAAGCTCTGCAGAGATTGCAAGACTAGCAGTGCTTGCACCGGCCTGATCAGCGGCCAAGGTATGTCCACCTTGCATTGTCTATACCGGTATAAAGGAATCTTGGAGTGATAGCTACTAGTTTTGCAAAGGAGACCGTCGTATTTTAAAAAGTGGTGCAAGATGACACTACATAGAGGTGCTTTGTTCGATCGGCGAGCACGACTCACTCCACTCCTGCTGACGGTGCCGGTCGAACCACATGTAGCTTGGGATTTCATTCAAGTGAGTGTTGAACCTTCTATCACGCATTCGGTGAGGGTTTGCCTCGAAGTAGCGATCTTTCACTGGAATGACTGAGTCTGTTGATTTGCTAGTCCAGTGGATACGCCAAGGGTATTATGTAGACGAAGCAAGAGTAAGGAGGATCCAGCGCCGTCGAGTAAGGAGGATCCAGCGCCGTCGTCATGTGCAATTGACTTGAATCGCTCAGCTAGTACATGTATTCTGTGATAGGGCAGAGGATCACCAAAAACCAAAGCCATTTCGGAACTGAACTCTCTGGCTGAGATAACCAAATTTTCGGGCAAAAAATGAGCAGCTTACTGAAGGACAAAAGGGGAACTAAATAGACTTAACGCCATGTCTGAATAACCACAGCGTCCGGTTCACAGGAGTTTTGCAAGCCGAAATCTCCGCCTCCCGAATTGGTGCAGGCTAGGTATTGAAGTCAGTAGCTCTAAGGGTTTAACTGGAGGTTAGAAACAATTATGAGCTATTGGCTTTGGTGGTTTCTGTCCCCGAACGGCAGTTGGCATTGGTAATTGCCGTTAGAGGATCTGCTGGATCTACATCTAAGTGTCGGTCCCGCGAGCCGGGCAGTCATACTGGTTGGCTTCGTGGGACGTGCTTCTGGTGGATATAAGGGTCAATGTCGCAGTGGGACTGGGACTTTAACACACCCTCGCACAAGGAGTACGGAGTGTGGATGTTGATGTTGCTGGTGTGATTAGCTTCTTGGCCACATTCAAATGCTGCTCCTGTTTCGGCTTCTGCCACTGAGGAGACTACCATCTTGAGGATTGGGCTGGTGACGAGGATGGGTCCGTTGTGTAGTGGTGGTTGTGGTGGCGCTGCATCGTCGCGCAATAGAAGTACCCTGCTGCTCTGGATCGTGCACCTGGTTCACTTAAGTAGGAGGCGTTACTGTCGATGCGGAGGGTCATGGGGCTTTGTTTGTAGCGGATTGTTACATTGGGGTGCGTGGCTGCATAGTCAAGAAGCTTGTGGCATGCTTTGAGAGTGTTGGTTGTTGGTGTTGCTTGGGTGGTGGCTATGGCACTGAGGGCAGTGAGCATGGTGTTGTCAATGGCTCGTGCATAGAAGAGTAGCACACCGAGGATCTGTTGGATGTGTTTTTTCTCTTTGCGGTTGAGGGGCGCGGATGTGTCTGCATCAGATGTCATCTGGATGCCATACTGGATGGGTTTGACTGTGTACGGTGAGTGTTCTGGTTTGGTGGGTGCAGGATGATTGAATCGCTGTAGGGCTTTGTCGATGTACCCCGGCATGGACAGGTCACAGGTGCGGTTGGTGTAATCCCATCTTAGGTGGATGCCGCTGTAGAGTGCTCCGGTCTAGTCGGTAGTGATGGTGTATTGTTTTCGTAGCACCGTGGCGAGGTGCTGGGCATGTTCCTTCCCCACGTATTTGACTCCGAAGTCGTCCACAATGAGGACGAAGGATATGGGTCTGGTTGCGTGTTTGAAGAGGGCCGGAACGCGTTTGGATTGGTGGTATCCGTGTTGTGCCAGGTGGGGGACGAGTCGGTCGTTGGCGACACGTCCAGCTTGCGGTAGTCCGTACATGCCTCCGTCGATGGCCACGTAGCAAAAGCCGCGGTCGTCGATGAGGTTTTGTTCACGGAGTTGGTATTGTTGGATGATCTCCTCAGGTATGACGGAGATGTGGATTTTCATGTACTCGGTGCGTGGCAATGGGTTGCAGAGGTAGTAGTCCTTGATGTCCATTGTCATGAATTGAGCGTCAGGGGTGCTGAGAACACTGTTGAGTAGGAGTTTAGTGGTGGTCATGTCTGCTGTTTTGGTGGTGGTTTCGAAGGGGTAGTCGATTCTGTCGCTACCGACGGTGTGGCGCACACGGTAGGGATCTTCCTTCTGGGGTCGGAAGGATACGACGATTCGCATGTAGGTTGGTGTGCGACCTGCAGGGAGTTCGTGTTTGGGGATGAACTTCATGGCGTTGGTTCCTTTGGTGTCTTTGTAGCCGTCGAGGAGCCGGCCAAATTCCTTGCAGTTGCCTTGTTGCCACAGGTGGCCATCACTGCTCTTGGAGAGTTCGCGGTATTCCGCGAGTAAGCCTGTGTTTGGTGGGGTCGGGTTCAAGGTGCTGTTGGATCCACAAGGTTGTGTCGGTGGTGAGTGTGTTGTTGTAGGTGGTGCCATTCACGGAGTGCTGGGTTGGCGGATCAGGGGCTGGCACCTCGGACGTGGTGCTGCCGGTGACTTGCTGAGGCCCGTGAGTTGTTGGAGTGTATGTTGCTGGAGGTTCAGCTGTGGTTGTGTTGGATGGGCTGGTTGGTTGATGAGGATGGTGTTGAGGTCAGTGAGTGCTGCCAGGATCTGTTGTTCATGGGTTGGTTCTTGGACGTGCAGGTGGTCCAGTGGGAACCATTGTACGGTGTCGGTGTTGCGGTAGCTGTGTGTCTCCCATACTTAGATGCGGTAGCAGCGGTAATGTTCCATAGCTGGGCCGACGTACCAACCATCTTTTCCATGTGGTGCCCAGCTTCGGCGGTCGCTGGGTGCTTCGTGGCAAAGTACGCGGATGCCGAGTGGGGCGATGGGAGTGGCGTTGAAGTCGAAACGGCCATAGAGTGCTTCATAGGCGGAGAGTTTTGGATTGCGTCGGCATGGTCGGAGTAGGTTGAGTGTCATTTCGGCTTGTGGTAGGAGGTCGTCCCAAAGATTCATGGGGAATGACGGATCGGTTGTTGCCAGGATGGAAATGAAGTGGTTCTTGAAGGTGCGGATGGCTCTTTCGGCTGCATTGCGACGGTGGGTTCCGGGTGGAACACGTTGGAAGTCAACATGGTTGGCGGAAAGGAAGGTTTTGAGTGCGGTGGAGCATTCGTTGTCTAGTGTGTGGAGTTGTGGTTTGTGGCCGCAGAGAACGAGCATATCGTGGACTGACTTGTAGGCTTTGAGTAGGGTGGTTTTGGTATGTGACTGAATAGGGCGGACGTTCACATGCTGGTTTCCACGCTGAGTTGCTACTGGTAGCCGGCCGGTCTGATCGCTATAGGTGTTACCATCTACCGTGTGCCAAATCGCGGTGAAGCACTGGTGTGTCGGCTGTTGGATAGCGTCGATGGGATCGTCATGGTCGGTGAAGGAGAGATCATGGTGGAAGGGGAGAGAGGTTGTTTCCTTGTTGATGTCGAGGAATGGAGATTGTGGTTGTTTTGGTTGTGTTGATTTTTTGTTCTTGCGGGCTTGGTCAAGGTGGCCTTTTGCCGTTGCTACTGTGTTAGGTGTCCAACGCTTGAGGGATGCAGCCGTCAAGCCAGGAAACCCGTGCACGAATCCTTTTTGTATGGCGTTGAGGAGTGTTGTGGGATTGGGGGATCCGAGTGCAGCATGTGCAAAGCGGACAAGTTGGCTTCGAGTGTCGGTTGTGGTGTGGTTTGCTGCATGTGTTGGCAGTTTGGTTGACTCGTGGCCGCATGCTAGGAATTTTGCTTGTGTGTTTGCGTCTGGGATTGGGCTTGAGTATTGGGAGTCACGTGTTCCGGATGATTTTTGGATGTGTGTTGGAGTTGTCATAGGCGGTGGGACTTGGCTTTGGTCGGTTGGGATGTGCCAAAGCTCACTTTTTCACGGGAAGCCGAATCGAATCGAGGAGCTTCCCCTCTGAATCTGTCACTACAAGAACAACAACACTAATAGCAACAAACACAAACAATCGGTCATACCTATTGTTGGCCGGTCTAGATATTTAGCGGACCCGGATAAGAAAAAGACCGCACCACCGTAGGAATTTAAGGAAACTGGCATTCTCGACGCATCGCCACGACTGTTCAAGCCGAACTCAGCTCTCAAGAGAAGATCATTTTTCCTCTCCTGCACATGGCTCCCTGAGCCCACCAAATATTCAACAACACTCACCACGACTCCTGACTAACTTACTAACAGCTGCCAGGTGTTATTTAAGACGCGTCAACACTAAGAAGAAAAAGGTTTTGGGATTGTTTGTATTGAGTTTGCCCATGATAAAGACCAAAAAGATAGAGTAACCAGGAATTGAACTAGAGGTGCTGAATAACAGTGGCTAGCCTCACTATCAAAGGTGCCTGTGGGCTCCAACAGAAAAATTTCGCCCCTCAAGGAGGCTCACCAACAGGAGCAC